AGTTTTGGTAAAATTAGCTTTCAACCTTTAATAACTTCATTGGGCCATCATATTCTTCTTATTTACCATATTAGCATCACATTGTTGTTGTCTATTTGCTTTACAACACGGTGCTCTATTGTAGCCTGAACAAGTCTTTCTCTAAACTGACCATTAAAATGGGGGCCCTCTAATCTCTTTCACTCCAGGATCCAAATGACAAAGATTGTGTCAAAATTGTCCTGGGGTTGGTGGGGTTGCCCAGGTTGATTTCTCCCATAAATTGCACCCTGAATACACCCATACACGGTCCAGCCACACTCTTATACCTAGTCTTGTTTAGTCAGCAAGAGAAAATATGTCTGCAAATGGGAATGTTTTTATGCAAAAAAACAAATTTGGGGTTTTTGACAGTTTAGGAAGAACGTAAATCCAAGTCTCTCTAGATCTGTTATTTTTGACTTATTTACTGGAATGATAGAATAAAATGTATTTAACCTCATTCAGTCAGGAGAAATCACTTGGATATCTTAAGACTGGTAATGGCAGAGAATGCCCTTTATCTTACCTAAATTACCCCGAAATGAACTCCGGTGCAGGGAAGTCCCTGGCCAAGCAGACATCTGGGCTCTGGAGGCTTCAGGCACGGCACCACTCATATTCACTTATTTATATACTTAAGGACAATAATGGTGATGATGAGCTATTCCCTGTTTTCTCTCTTGAGTTTTGTTTGAAGGCAGGGTGCATCCATCAAAAAATTTCTTTCCTGCCATCTTTCTTTGCTTGTAACTGCACCAGATTATATAAAACACAAATAAGATGACATTTTTAAAATTAATTTGTATCATTAGCAAATCATTATATGTCAACTGTATTTCTTTGAAGCTTGCTAACAGGCAGTGTCTAAGGAAACATCAGATTATAGGTCTAGTACAATGTATAAGAGAACATGAGTAGAATGTCATTTTTAGGAAAAAAAAAATTTAATTCTTTAGGAAAAAAGGGTGTATTTACAGGAAAACCCTTCACTTTTGATAAGTTTATGTCTCTTATAGTGCAGACAAACAATCCCAATGATGTCATAGGTCTAAATCTCTGTGTCTAACATAGGCCTCAAATAATGTCATGACCTGCAGCACATCCTCTGGGAACCATAACATGCAGTGGCAGATGGACAGTACAGGCCATATTCCTAAGTGACATGCAGACACAAAAGCATGCAAACATGCAAGCACGTGCGCACACACACACACACACACACACACACACACACACACACACAATCCCAAATAAATAATTTCACTATTTAAACACTCTCTTAGTCGAAAGCCATTTCCCTAGTCTTCCACATCCCCCTCTAACGTTTCATTCTCTCTCCCCTCTTCGCTCAGGTTTAATTGACTATTGTGGCAGATGGGGTGGCCGTTGGTCTGTGGGAATCAATGTCTTTATTGTGGAACTGAGAGAGAGATTAGCAGTTAGTTAGCACTAGTGAGAGATGACAGCTGGCACCGTTAACCTCTCCTGTCACTCACACACACACACAGGAAATACCTGAGTACAGTTAGCCCTTAGCCTGGCTCAGCAATTACACCACAAGAAAAATACTGCTCTGAACCTCAAGCCTGTCACTCACACACTGAATAAATGTAGCCAAGTATGTTAATCATCTACACACACACTTGAGCATAAACCATTTTTGGCTTAGCTTGAGATCTAAAAGGAAGAAAGAGAATAGGCAATTTGTCCACTGTCAATCAAGACTGAGGACTCGCGAGGGCACATCTCCACACTTTCAAAATAGAGCATGGTTTAAAAATGTTTTTCAATCTAGGGCTTTACTATGCCTCAACCTATGACTGGAGGACAAGCCACAACATAAATATAAGTTACATGACAGCTCACTGGAATGATCAATCTACTTTGCAAGAAAAAGCCAAGACATGAAAGCTTTGCCACTGAGGCAGAGCAAACATTCATCATGTGATATGACCCAAAAAATGACAACAGCAGCTGCTGACAATTGCTCCAGTTTCATTAAGGCATCTGAAATACTTCACGCTGATTTGCCAGCAGTTTTTTTTTTTTACATTTTGTTACAAGTAAAACTCCCAAATGGACACAAATTGATATTTCTGAATTACTCAATGCATGACAACAGTCACTTGGAAAAAATCTTTGAAACCAGAACTGGCTTGCTCCATAAAGATGATCTTTATTGATAAAAAGGATCAGATTCTATCCAAGGAGTTAAGCATCAATTTTGTGACACTAACATAACAGTTGAGTTGAAAAAAAAAAGGTTTGTCAGGAACTCTCAAACAAATGTCATTCATTTTCTCTTCACATCCATTTGGATTTCACTGAACCTAAATAACTCCTGTCAAACACATGTGAGGACCAAGTGCCAAAAACTCAGTTTCATAAGGATGATTTTGTTGTCCAAGTATATCCACATGTTGAGCTGCTTCGCAGCTGCTCCAGAGCACACTCCTACTTTAAGAGGGTTTAACTGATACTGCTGTAACAATAAAAGACACAATAATGTCATTGGGCCAGTGGGGGTTTACTCAGAATGGAAAAACAGTTCTCATGACTGAAATATATAGACACGTGGGAATCTGCAAAATTAACTAGAAATTGTGTTCCCTAGCTTTCTGTCCAACGGTAAAGAATGTTAAAGTACTACATTAAACAAAATGGGGAATCCTGACAAAAATGTTACAGATTCACTTGAACACTCTCATACGTACACAAAAACTAATGCAGATGCATGTATTTATTCTGTACATACAGACATACACCTACACACACACAAGTTGGTATTATGCAGCCAGTGTCCCGTGAGAGATATTATTAAATTTCCTCAAGGGTTCCCACCAGGACTACCATGCCTGGTCAGAGCAGACCAGAGCAGGAACCCTAACAGGGCTCATGTTGCTACACAACCATCTTCAGAAAGCTGTCTCCTCCATGACTGGAGGGACCGAGGGTGTCAGTTACTTGGCTCCTTCTTCATCTGGGTCAAATCAAGTTCAACAACAGATGCTTCTTACAATCCTCAACACAGCGTGTTTTGACATGACACTAGGGAATTGACTTGATTTGAACATTTGTATGGTCCTCAATGTGCTGAGTGAATCATAAGACTAAAGGATTGTCAGCACCATTAAAAACACACAAAGCAAATTCAAAATGCATGGCTGTCAATCCAAAATAAAGCTGTTTTTCATCATTCCTCTATTTTCTTAAGGGAGAAAAGAGAGGGTCTGACACCAGTGATTCTTATAGTCTCCTGCACAGCATATTTTGTAAAAGAAAATGTTAGAAATTCCTTCCTGTGATTAAAGATTCAGATAACAGCACAGCAAATGACATGTTGATGTTTTGGCTGACATCCATCTGGTTTTGACATGGGAAAATATTAACTAAACACTAACTAAAAATTTAAATCCTTCAAGATTAAACATGCAAAGTGCACCTGCCAACACTGGCCTTGTCCAAATTAATCTGCTTTTCAACAGGGGTAATGTAATATGCCAACTCTGAACAGCTGGAGGCAGATTTAATTCATTTGATATTTGTTATCCTTCCATGTTCTACAGACTATAAACTACAGTCACATGGTAGCCAAAACATGGCTGAAACTCTGCCAGTCTCCATGTGTAGTGGGAAAGACATCCGCCGACATTTAACCTGACAAAGTAAGGGTCTGGAGATTTAGTGAACTCAACCTGACTTTCCCTCTAAAAACAGGCTGGGCCTTGCCTGTAAGGATTCTGTCTTTGTGTTTATTGTTTACTTGAAAAAATGATCTTCTTTTACAGTTAGGAAATTACTAAGTAATCCAACAGTAGTTGGGTAAAACTAACACACCCAAACTTGTCCAGATCTCAAATACAGTACTAATAAATACATGCTGCAAACAGGTAATTATGGTCTAGTTATTGAGCAACACCTTGCTCTTCCCCCGTTCTCCCTCTCAGGGGAGTAACAAAGGAGTAGGAAAGAGAGGTAACATGATATAGATGGATAATGTGCGTCTACTATTGCACTCAGACAGTGTGTAACACAACATCACCCCCCCTCTTTATCTTAAAACCAATGCTCTGGAGGTACACTCACATAAGCACCTCATTGCAATATATTTTTTGTGCAACTGTTACTGTTCAAATAGCACTTTCTGTCTGTCAGCCTCTGTTCGCATTCAAAAAGATCATGATTGCCTGAGTCCATACACATTCATGTCTACATGGAACAAGTAACATGTATTGAGAAAATGAAGCTGTAACATGAGGAGGCGAGATTGACAATCACCTTTTCTCAAGTGTTTCACTGCTCCTGTTAAGTCTTTGATATTCCTGAGTAAAAGCACTTCACTATGTGTGGCTCCATGTATCTAATTTGTTCTCCTATACCCTACAGATTATGATTTTGGGGTGGAGTTTTAAAAATACAGTGTGAAACAAGGCCTCTCATTTGTTGTTTCTGTGTAAACCATTTCTATGTACTCTGAGGACAAAAGATATCGGTGATTTCCCATGTTTGCAGAGGAGGTAAGAAAATCAGTCAATGATTTGACTATAATTATTAATACTCAAATTACAACACTGCTTTGATTAAATAAATTAAAATCACTGATTATCCTAAGGTGGATTCCTTCATGCTATACCAACAAGGGTACAATATCTTTTGACCTTAGCCAAAAATATTTGTTTTCATTTTCATTTTTTAAGGAATTTTCCATTTTAGATACAATTATTTCTGAGCTGTCCTTGTCTCTGGCACCGTCTCTTTACACTGTTTTTGAAGTCCTTAGTAACTTAATGTTCTGATTCCTGTAAAAATTTTAAAACTCACCACAATACAGTTTAATGCTTCACAATGTCTATTTTTTAGGAACACTATGCAACTTTACCTCTCTCATTCACAGCAGTGGCTATCCAATTTCCCCATGTGCTTTGATACTGACACACACACAGCATGCACTGCCTGAATGACACACACAAACAACCTACCTCCATGGCTAATGCGGCTGTCTGCTGGTCGTAGTGATTCAGTAGGTTGGGCATAAAGGTGGTGTTGTAAGGCAGATCCTGGCACATTCTCAGTCTGATGGGCTCACAAGTAAACTCACTGTGGCTCTCTATGGCCTCCATATGAATGGAGAGAGTGGGTGTAACCAGCGAGAATAGTAGTAGGAAGATAGAGATGAGGAGGAAAGAAAAACAGACAGGATCTGGCTGTCTGCGGTAGACTGGTGTAGTTTTTGAAAACCAGTCTTTCATACATCCTCTTCCAACAGGTGCTTGCATCTTAAAGTCCGACATTTCTCCACAGGGGTTCAGACTGATGACTTTATCATCACCCAGAAAACCACTAGATAGCCTTGGAAAAATGCAGAGGTTGATTTTAAAGCCTCTCAACATTAGAAGCAATTGTGTCCATTTTTAGGGTCAGTGGTGGTGGAAAAGCAAGGAATCCACTAGGTAGGTACACTCTGGAAATGTACCCTGAACAGTGCATGTGATGGAGTACCAATTCATCTGTAGGCCATGAATGGATCTGCTCTTTGTGTCAGTCTTCATATTCAAAAGCCATTGCAGGATTTCCTTTTCTTGCAGTGTGTCTCAGAAGGTGCCTTTAAATGCACACCTAATTGTTTTTCATTAAAATAAAATAATAATAAAAAACCTTACATGTTTTCTCTCCACCTCCTGGTACTCCCCTGATCAAAGACAGATTTCCCTGGCTCCATCCCCAAACTGAGAGCATGTCCCCGAGATAATAGTTCCACCATCAGTTGTCTCCTGGAAGTCTTCAGTGGGTAGTGTACATCTATTCCTTCCACGTTGTTTTTGTCTCCTCTCACTCTTGTTGCTTCAAGTAATGTTTCGAAGAATCACCTGAGATCAAGCCCAAAAGATGCCATTATCCTCAAAATGATTTTGCTGATTCCTCTGCAAGACACAGAATAGACTTTCACTTCAGTTGCCACACTGGAGTGGATTCAACAAGCAGGTCCTGCAGGTTTAAAAACACAAACAAAGGCCTAATGGTCAAACAAGCAGAGTGGGCTTGCTAGAGTAATGGTGTACTGTATCTGGTTTGGTCTCTGACCAGCCACACCCTGGTCTCTATACAAATCAGGATTTAAAAAATCTGATGAAATCTACACTAGCCTGTTCGGTTGTCATGACAGACTTTTAAAAACCCTGTGATCAATAGCCTAAATTGACCAACACTGTCACATAATCTACCTGTTTATCGTTGTGTCAATGGGGTTATGCACAGTTCATGCTGCAGACTGATGAAAACATTTTCAAAGCAAACCACGACAACTAGTGCATGTTTGAAGCCGTTAATGTGGACGCTACACCTGCGGACGATCAGACACTCCCCCGCTCTCATGTTTGTGTGAGGTTGGCTGGGCAACAGTAGCGCTCCCCTGCGATGTTTCACACTCTTCGACTCGGTGTCTTTAAGGTTGACTACACAGCGAACTTAAGAAAAAGGCTTGGGTAAAGAAAAAGAGCAAAAACGGGCGTTCAATTATTAAGTTTTAATTTACACCTGCGTCAAACTGTTCTCAGTCGGCCGTTAAACACAAGCTGACTTGCAGTAACACTGGTAGCTGGTTAGCTAGCATTAACATTATTAAAATGATACCGTTAAATTTTGCTGGACACCTCGTTGACCGGTGGATGGTTAATTCTACCGTTACAGGTCACAGCCCTTCACGTTAGCTCTCTTCTGCTCGCCGGGAGGAGAACCTGGCCAGTTTTAGAAAGCACAAACCTTTAAAAGGCAGGCTTTAGTGAGGCGTCTTCGCTCTACCGAAGCAAGAACCACACACGATGACACGCCAGGATCACGGAGGACGGAGCGTATCAATCTTGGGAGCCGTGTGTGTTTGTCACCGCAGTGTCTTCATCCCAAAAGCGCGCTGCTTGTGCTTATTATTCAGTGTCGAAGTCCTGCCTAGCATGTCGATAATAATGAATTACATAAATTCTACAGTTTCCGTCCAACATTACAATTATAATTGCTTTACCTTGTGTGAAGAATAACGAGCGGTTAGGACGCTCCTCGTCTCCACCGGCTTCGTTCACTGCAGCACTTCGTTTTTCCACTGTTTGCAGCTGGTTCCGTGCAGCGTGCAGCCGAGACATCGTGACCGCGGATTCAGCGTGGCCGCGCAGACACGAGAAAACCGGACGATGCATGCTGTTGTATACATACATTTTTTTTTTTTTTTTTTTTTTTTTTTTTTTTTTACAAATGTACAACAATATTAATAGACACATGATATGTGGCTAGAGCTCTAGGAAATACACACGTTTAGTATTTCATTTTGGTAAACGCAGCCGAACCCAAAGTCAGATATGCTTTTAAGTGTCCTGGATGCATGTGGTGTCTTTGGTGTTTTTGATTGTTTTCTTCCTGGTAAAAGGGCCTGGTAGGGATAATGACTATATCCACCTTGATTTGTCAGGGAAAACTGAAAAGGGGAAAACAACTACAGTTAACATTAACAAAAATCTTTATTAAAATTCTACATTATATACTGCTACAAAACCATAAAGGAAATTAATATAATGTACAGTACAACCACATTTGTCAAATTTTAACAAAGCAGGCAATCTATATTACAAAATACACACCTTTAACATCTGTTAGAGAGTTTACAGTTCGGCTGGATCAGTGGGAAAGATGAATGATGGTACTTGTTTTGTCCTATCAGGCTGACCAACTCAATTTATTTCAAGAGCTTAAATTTACCTTGTTTTGAAACAAACAACCACCAAAGGCTTTCATTTAGTCCCTCAATTAGGTTCAATGATAATAAGTCTTACAGCAGAAAGAGGGACTCAACCATATTTTAAGGTTTGTATTAAATTATTTTAATTCAAATCAATTTCAAGAAAATAACACATGCTCATTTTATCATTGATTTTATTGGTGATAAAAGTGATAATGAATACCCTTTGTCAAATCAGTGATTTGCTAATGTTATTTTAGATGGAAAATATTTTAAATAAAAATATGAGTTGTGGCAAATTTATAAATCGACTACATTCTACATAAACCTTAGATATGGGACATCTATTACCTCACAACAAAAAATGTTCCCAAGAGCCAAATGATATGGCACTCATTTATTTCATAAAGCCTTTAGTGTCTGAAAATGCTAACTATTCATTAAAATATCATGTCATATGACTTTGCTTGAGTTCTGTTTATATCCCCTGATACAACAATAAGCTTGTCTGAGCTCATATCCATCTTGGGATTTCAAATGCAAATTTTAAGAGTCTGGGGTGCAACATCAACATCCTACTGACTGAAACAGACACACAGACTTGTTGTGATTGTATCAGTCAACACTATGTCAATATTTATCCCTTACATTCTCAGGATTAGTACTGCGTGCTATGATTCCCTTCCACACGATTTAGCACGCCACTAGATTAACTGTTTCATGGCTGATCTGATCTGATCTGATCCTCTCTGTTGTTGAGTTGTGGGGGGTCTGTGCTGGCCCACATACTGGTTTAACCTCTTAATATGACCCCACTTGACATTCACCCTACATACAGAGGCACTCAGTCCATACACAGCTATGCTGCAGTTCAGTTTATTTTAAATTCAGGGGTTCAGAGCATCTTTCTTAAGCATTCTTTAAATATCCCAGTTGCTATATCTGGGGCATGTTCATCTAGCCAATTGTTTTTTCTACAAAAGTAAGCCACAGTGGAAACCAATGAACATGTCACTAACTGCAGTTGTCCTTACAATTTTCCACTAATATAAACCACTTTCAAGAAGTGCAATTTAGTATGTCTACTTTAGTTTAAAGCCAAACTATGGCTAGCATGAAACATAATTATTTCTGTGCATTAAACTTGTATTTTGGCAAACATTGATGAGTATGGTTGCATCTCAGATGAAATGAAGTGGTTTATAATCTGGACAAACAGTAAAATATTATACACAGGAACAATAAAATAGATTTTGCTGAAATGTGAAACAAGTTTACACAAGATAAAATAATCCTAAATTCAGCTAAAATATACATATTTTCGAAAGGTATAAAAATGCACTTTCTTCATAAACAAAGGTTTCTTCATACTGAAAGACATGCTTAGCAAGTAGGGATACTGATGAGACTGAAAGGATCAGTAATATACAGTGGCCCTGAGAGCTCAATGCAGTGCAACTTATGAAAACACTTGAAAATACACAAACGTGCTGCAAATTCAAAAAACACAACGGTGTGCATCCCAACCCCAGGAAACACTTCCGTTGTGTTGTAGGACTGAATTGGCGGCGTGTTTGTTTATTTGCATGTGTTGTGATTTTTTTGCAGTGCATTTGTTGTCAAATTCATAAAGATGTTTTCTGAATTTGCGGCACGTTGAGCTCTCAGGGCCACCATAGTAATATCTTACTGTAGTTTCCACACATATATATGCACACTGTATCCCAATATCTGCACAAAAGGAATGCACCTACAAAACGTATGTGAGTTTTTTATGCATCACTGTGAATTAATTTATCACTGATAGGTTTCTTAGTCTCTTAAAAAGGATTCCACTCCTGTTCCACAGAGACACTCACCTAGCTGACTGCAGGGCAAGATCTACTAATCTGAATACAGGTGCAGTGATGCCTTTTGCGATTTAGCTGTACTTGTCTACGTGGAGTGGTGTCCTTCCTGCTTTTTGTTCAGTTAGGCATCAGGGTTCATGCGCTGTCCAATTAGACGTCGGCTGTGGGGAGAGCACTCAGCCTCTTCCTCCAACTGGAAGAAAGAAAGAAAGGACAAGGAATGAAGAAATTAGTGTGTCAGTCTGTGTTATCATGAGCAAGTGAATGAGGGTGTTTGGATTTTCTTTTGACTTAAAGAAACTGAGTGAGTAGATGTCTGTGGATAAGTTGTATGTGTGTTTGACTAAGACTAAGTGTGTGTATGCACATCTGAGTCAGACAGAAATTCAGACACACACCACAGTTGCATCCCTCAAGCATACCCACCCAACCCCACACAAAGACACACACACCTGCTCTTTGATGTAGCTGTTCCCACAGGGTGCCAGCCCTCTGAGAGCCAATCCAACGATGAAGCACCACACAGACAGTCCGACCTCAACCGCTGCCAGCACAGTACAAGGGACCCACAGCGCAAGGGTGGTGTCCTGAGAGATGGCAAGTGGTGGAAATGAGGAAGAGAAAGAAATAAAGTAACACTACAAGGTTGACCATTTCTCCTGTGATGCGAGGTCTATAGGCAGAGGGATAGAGTGAGGTAGAACTTTTTTTTTTTAAAGAGAGGGAAATGCAAGAGGAAAATTTAGACTCACATAAATTCTTGTTGTATCAAATGGGCATTGGGCAGTGATAGGTGACCGAGCATTGATGGGCACCTCTGTGTCATTGCATCCCACCATCAAGCCCTGCCCATTGTGGGCAACAGTAACACTAATGGCCAAGATGAGACCAGTGCAGCATGACGCTGAGAGCAGGGCGTTCAGGAATGATGCAATTAGAAGTCCTATTTGCTGGAGAAACAGAGACAACCTCATATAAAAACCAACCATTGAGCAGACACAGAATGAATGACTGAAGTGATCATATCAATAGTTGAAAATAAATTAAATTCTTACCAGTTTTAATACATGAAGGTTCCTTGACACCACAATAGCAATAATCCCGGTGACAATGCTCTGCAAGATTCAAATGACAAGATGATTGTTTCAGTTTAGTGCTAATTTGGCATAGACTAACTTCTAACTTGTCTATTTGTTTTGTCTGTAAAATCTTGTATAGAGTGCATTTCAAGGAAAGGTGACATCATCATCAACAACTGGCAGGTTATCTAATACCTCAATGTAATGAGGCCTGCCCTAAAGCAACTAGATTTAAAAAACCAGTTCCCTTTTAATGGGCAAGTTTAGTCTTGATTGCTGACAAAAATACACAACACTATTACTGAGCTAAAGGAGCACACACACCTGTGATACCTGAGTATCCGATGCACAGAACAAAGAGAGTCACTGATATGAATGTGAAGATCAGTTTGTTTCATGGAACATCAATTTCAAAGTAAAATTCAGACCAAGATTGCTTGGCTTTAAAAAGTACTACAAACCTTGAGTGTCTTGGTGCACAGTTTCCTCATCTGAACTGCTAAAATGACTTCAAAACATAGTGTGAATATATAAACTATTGACTCACCAGCAGGCCAGAGGTGACAGAGATGATGTTGGCTACAGTGTATTCAGTGGTGATATGCTGGCTGGGTTTGGAAATGTGGCGGAGGACACTGCCATGGACAATAGCTCCAAGAATGAAGTTAATATGGCCGACCAGGATGAGAGTTAAACCCTTTTTCATCAGCCTCCTTGGCCCTTTGTCCTTATCTGGATGAAAGAAATACAGGAAACATGTAATACATGCATGATACATGATGTGTCTACATACACCATATTGTACACAAAGCAAAGCAAAAAACTGTTTCTGCTTGCACAACACTACACATTCATTCAGTGTTATGGCCTGACTTATACTGGTTTTCTAAGGAAAATAGTGTTATCGGTATGTGACAGTTTAAAAAAATCTAATAATGATGTCTCAGCCGATGGTATTTTTTGAAGACTTTGCTTTTGCTTTTTTGTTTTTTTATTAATTGTAACCAAGATTCATACTAAGATGAACATTATAGAGTTAATATATTGTTAACTTGCTAGTTCTCACCTCAAACCTAACTTAGCATTTCTACACTGCAATTTCTCGTTACTTATTGGCCGACCTGTACACCGGCCATATCACCTGGTGTATGTGCAATAAGCTATATTGGCGTGGCTGATTTATCCATCTAGCTCTGTACTGTGCGTCTGATGCAGTGTGATGTTATAGGCCAAAATTCACATCAGCTAAATTAAATTCTGAAGGACTTGATTCCCTACAGAACATTTACTATATTTATGCATGCATACATTTATGTGCGTACATGTAAGAGTTACAGCATTTGCATACAAAGGCTACACTCTAAGTGACTCACAGAGATGGAGGAGTTAGCGTGGGCATAAATGATTCTTTTAAAACGAAGTGATCTCTTTTCTTGTCAGTCTGAATGTTAGCAGCTCATTTTCTCTGAGGATAAGATAAAAGCACAATCTGTTACACATGCACTTGTATCACATGTGCAAAGTCTTAAAAATGAAACCGTGTCATCCTACCTCCAGGCCTGTGGTCAGTTACACCCGTGGAGGGGAAAACAATGTCGGACATATAAGTTATGATATTACTTATGTGAGGTGTTCAGTAGTTATATATATATGCCATCAGACAACCACTCACCAAACGTGCACATCTCTCTCCTACGACAGATGTTTCCTACGAATGAATATCCGTAATTTTCGAACAACAGAGGACGAAACTTGAGACCTCTCAGACGTTCCTCTGTCCACTTCCTGTATGACGTCATGATACTCACCTGTGAATTACCTGTGACTTGCTGGACGCTCAGGGGCGCAACAGACATTTGAGATTCATAATAAGCTTATTTATTCTCAGAACACTGAATCGGTCACAAAACCAGAAAATCATTTTCGCAAATGGGTTTGAAACCAAGACTGGAGTAAATCTTATTAAAAGAACAAAGTCAAGCACTTCACACATTTATTTGAAAGACCAGTCATACTTTGCAGTTTTTGTCAGGATACACGTCTCAGAAAAGACACTCAGTTACTGACATTCATGTCATATACAAAATATAAGAATATCCAAATATAACCACAACTACTAACCTGGAGTAGCAGGCTAAAGCTGCCCATCATGTGCGATTATATAATAACCACTTTCAACACCACTGGTAATTTAAGTGGAAAAGATGGTACAGAGAGTGACAGGGAGAGAGAGATAGAAAGACAGAGTCAGTGTAAAGCTGCTCTGATAAAAACATTTTTTGGATTTTTCAACTTCTCTATACAAGGAGTGGTGCGTTTACATTCTACTAGCTAAGTTAAGAACATATCTTTGGGATATACAATCTCAACAGTTCACAAACAGACATACAAACAGAGGAGAACAAAGTAAACAATGTATTAAAATGCACTACACAGGGTAAGTACAGCAAAATATGCAGATTGGAGCATAATAGTTGTCTGAATACATTAAAACTAGAATTACTGCCTCTTGGTTGTATGCTTCCACCAACCAACAAAGTTGCAGGAAATATGGTCACGGTCTCCCCTTCCCAAGTTTAACATTGAATAATGGCCAAAAGTGTTTTTCACACAGTGAAGTTGACCTTTGACCATTTGGATATAAAATGTCATCACTTCATCATTTAATCCTATTAGATATTTGTTATACATTATGTCATAATTAGTGTATGAGTTTGTATGTTATGGCCAAAAACGTGATTTGTGGGTCATAGCGACCTCAAACTTTGACCCTTGCCCACCAAAATCTAATCAGTTCATCCTTGCATCTAAGTGAATGTTTGTACCAAATTTGAGGAACTTCCCTCGAGGTGTTACTGAGATATTGTTTTGGCGAGAATGGGACGGACGGACGGACGGACGGACGGACATGCATACGGACAACTCAAAAACATAATGCCTCTGGCCCTGGCTATCTCTGGAGCAGAGGCATAAAAAAATACTCAAGAAATACACGAGTTGAGATCATTGGATTAATATGATCTCATTAGTGATGTTTGCAATTTAACATTACAACTCAACAACCAGAGGAAAGCTCTGCCGGAACTTAAGCTGGCAGAGTGATTGTAAGACAAAATACAATTTAAATAAAATACCAGATCAAAGGAAGCTATTTTATGCAACAATATCTCAACTGTTGTTTTGTTTTTTCCAATACATATTGAGAATGATATACTCTTATTGCCTGTTTAAGATACTGAATTATGTGAGCTCTCGGACACAGTAGTACCAGTAGTCCACAAAGAGTTCTGAGCCAAACTGTCACAAAAAGGCCACAGGCAACTCCTTGATCTCAATGCAAGTCTAAACAAGACCGGCATGATATAAAATATTTTATTCAAGTTTAGAAGCTTTGGTAAACCTGTGAAGGATATTGTCAATCCACTAGGTCCCACTTTTATCAAATGATCAGATGAAAATAAAAGCAACAGAAAACAAACTAGAGAAGTTCTGTATTGGCTCAGATTCTCCACAATGTGGTCTCCATGTGGAACTTAAGTAAACAAAAGGGAAATAAGTAAAGAAAAACACCTGATATACAGTATTTGTAACATAAATAAAACATGAAACTCTCACATGGATGTATCAGCAAGAGGCTAGGTCCTCTTTCTACAGCATATGGCAGCTGAGTTCACGACACAAGTCTCACATGAATGAATTTTAAAGGCAGAGTAGCATGTGTGAACCCAACAAGCAGCAAATGGTAAAACAATTAATAAAATAAGAAAAACAATTGGAAAAAAGAAAACTTTAGGGCATGTGCGTAGGCCCACAGTAAGGCAAATAGTAGAGCAAAAATATAAAATCAAACACACAAACGGAAATTCAGTAACACTAAATTCACAGTACCTCAAAGTGACTATCTTCCAGAGAGAGCTGGCAAGATGCCCGACCAAAATGCGTTATGCAGTAATGCACATACATTTTGTTGTGCATCAAAGGCCTTTTACAAACATTATCCATGGGTAAATAGTTCTATTTAAAAAATTAAGTTTGAAGGTTCCCTCTTTGCAATGCAGTTTTCAAACTATTCTATATATTTAATCTGATAGGTGATAAAAAGGGGCAAAATGAAAGAGGGAACCACATGAAATGACATTGGTTGAAAAGAAAGGGTTAGCTTAATTTGTAAAAATTTTCTTTGGTGGTGCTCAAAGGGTGTAGGTCCAACTAGTAAAATTTAGTACAAGAGTTAATATGTGATGTGACTCAAGTGAAGGCCTGAATCAGTCTTTGATGATGATTTAGATTGTTTCATCCCGGGACACAGGCCGGCCAAGCAATTCATAATGTAAACACCTCACTATAATACAACTGTGCTTGAGAAAAACTGGGTTTCATCATAAAGCTGCAAGTAATCTAGTCAGTATTGTTGTGATCAAAATGTCTGTTGCAGCATTAATATATTTTAATTAAACTTAACAGCCAGCTTAATAGCCAGTTCATTCAAAATAATTCCATGTATGTATGCGTATATGTATGTTTTGACTTAAATAAAATGCATGTGCCTTTTTTGGAGTAAAACTGGCTTCATATTAAAGCTTTTATGTGCTTTTAGGAAGTTTTAGTCCCTGATTCCAAGGAAAAACTTACACTTTTGGTCACATTGCTGCCTACGGCTTGGTATAATGATACAAAAAATACATTAAATATAGTCACTGTGTTGAGTAATTAAAAAAAAAATGTGTAACAGGTTTGACAGAGTGTATTTGTGAGGAGACACGGTTGATGAAACCCTTGCTAGTGAAGAACTTGGCTGAAAGTTTCTTCTAGTAGGCATGCTATCTTGTTTTGGTCCAACTGTGAAGAGAACACAAACATTTTCAGCAATGACAGACACTCGAAATTCAAAACAACAAACAAGGGATAGAACTGTTTTTATCCATTAAGAGGATGAAAGTCTACATATACTCTCACCCACAGAGAGATGAAGTGACTACACAACATGAGAGTGGGTTTGTGTGCATTTTTTAGTGAGTGGGCACCAGAGTACATGCAGTAAGCGTGTATAAAGCTCTTTAAGGGGAAAGTGAGTTGGAGGGTATGTAGTAGCATCAGGGGTCACCACGCCTTTTAAAATCACCTGCATTTTCAAACATTTTGCAGAAATAGCACATTCACCTACAGTGTCAACCAGACAAATACAAGCACATACACACACAGTCAATGTGAATCTCTCTTTACCACACCAAACACCCACCTCACTGATTAAGCCCAGCTGCACCAACTCTCCAGCCAACTCTTGAACATTCTCCTCTGAAACACACATGAGCACAGTTAGTTACAGTAATTCATAACATCACCTTCACATCAATTCAACCAGTCACCCATCATCTCTCTTGGAGTTATGCAAATACTATAACACACATACACCTGCACCTGAATAAAGGTCAGGCTTAGGGTAAATACCACATTCATAATAATGTAGTCCAGATGCAGCTTTTAAATCCAAATCCCACCTTAAACACAATAAAAAAATCACCAAACACCAGCTACTGCCGTTGCTCTCTGCACCTGTGAACCCATTTTGTATTTTCATAATCCCATTTTTATATTCCTGTAGACATCTAGCAAAGCATTCATTAAGTGACATCCAATACAGTTGAAAAAGGACGGAGTACAAAATGGGACTCATCTGGCAGGAAAATAAAAAAGCCAACATGTTTCAACCAGCATGGTCTTCATTGGGGAATGATATGTTAAAACATGTTGGATTTTAAAATATTCTTCTTGTTATTGAAGGCTTATCAACTTAATGGACAGACGCTTGCAGTTTCCTCTACTTTAGACTGTCCATAACTTTCTTTCAGGTCTAATATTTTTTAATACTTTTTCCATTGTTCTATTGAGCCTTGTATTTGTCCTAAAAACCAAATGTACCTTTAGCTCATCAAAAGTTTATCCACTTATTTTTGGTTAATCTTAAAATCTGCTGTAAATTCCAGGTAAGACTTCTTTCAAGACTCAACTTTCAACAATCATACAGGACCAAATACAGTTTATCTTGGAAAAAGCAAATATTAAGATTTCAATAATGTCAAGAATCCATGTTGCAATGCATCTGCACAACTTTTTGTAATATAAAATAACTCATGCTCTGACTGAGTCTGATTATAACGAATAAGAACTCACTACCTTTGGTGAAAATATAAGGCATGTTGAGGGAAAGTTAACAGAGCAAACAACAGAACTAAATCAACAGAGGTGTAAACAACATATATGCAAGGTTACTCAAATTATGCAAACATAAGGAATGCTGGATTTTACTTGACTACAGGAAAAAAGCATTCACAACAAACCAGATCTGACTTCCTGATATAAACTCTTTTTTTAAACTTCTGACGTCTACTTTGTCCTAAAAACTTTAAGATTCACAAACTGCACATAATACTCCTTTCAATTCCTGACCTGTTTTTGTAATAAATGGATTTTGATTAGTGAATGAGTTTTTTATTATTACTTTAGTTACCACACCAAATTAGGACATTCTTTTCCTGTGCCTAGTGAGCAGAGGAGTTGTCAGGGTCTGCTGATTTTTAATAAGCTAGCTGTCAATTTACAACTGAACAAGGAATGTGGCTGGAACAAGATAAACAAGTGGAGGAGATGGAGCATCCAACAACTCTGACATTAACAAAAGAGAAACACAAGCAGCCAACAGCCATATGCCAAAGGGATTGATACTGAAGCAGAGGGAGAGAGTTCCTTGCTGATTTGTGTCTATTTAGTTTTGAGAATAAAAACACGCCTCAGTTGTCAATGCACTGAAAAGGGTGTAGAAGAACCATGCAAAAGGCCAATGGGGTGAAATTTAAGTGGGTTAGTTAGCTAGCGACACTGCAGTGTGACTTTGGACTTTGGTGTGTTGATAAGGAAAGCTTTGGAAAGAATATATCCTGATATCAGTAAGAGGGACTGTTTACAAAGAGGACAGGGTGTGTCTACGAGGCTGATTTGTGTGTGTGGGTGCGCATGGATGTGAAGTTCCAGTGTGTGTGCCAGTGGTATTAGGCTGTTGGTATTCAAAAGGAAGAAGAAATACAATGTAAGAAACAGGAAGAGAGAAAGAGCAGAAGAAAGTCCAGTGGTCCAGTGAAAGTGTCTAAGCATTTGATAGAGACAGTGTGTGTGTGTGTGTGTGTGTGTGTGTGTGTGTGCGTGTGAGAAAGAGTGCGTGTATGTGTGGGTGAATGAGAGACAGGGAGATGAACGCCTGGGAAAAGATGGTCAGATCGCGACACAGGAGGTGACAGCTGTCAGCAGCAGCCTTTCACTGGCCTGGCATTCCCCACACGCCTGCAACATTATACATGCCTACCATACCTGTGTGTACATGTGCACATTGGATCATACAGACTGCATTATTCTGACCATGCAGCAGTTGTGTTCTGTGTTATTTTCTCATTTGCCTTCCTTTAGTCTTGTCTGTGGCAAAGCAGTGAGATCAAAATCCTGAAATATTGATGTATATTCTTAAACAAATAAGTGAAGTAAAGTTGTAAAGACAACTCCCTGTTGTTTTACAAGAAAACATTAAAAGGTTTAAAAGCCACTATGGCCATTAACAATTCAAGTATGCAATCTAAATAAATTTGTCCAAAATAGAGGTGCATGGTTTTCGTGACACACAGGCAACAGTCGGTCTCCCTGCCTAAAATAGTCTTGCATACTGTATATTGTGACGCCATCTGCATTTCAAGCTCTCTCTGGAATCTCCCTCTCACTTTGCTACATGACAGTCCACACATATGAAGAGATACTGTATATTAAAACTGGGAGTACAGGGGACTGAGCTCTGCAGTAATTGATACAGAAACAGCCTTATCAGCTATTATTACCTCTAATCAGGTAATTCTATCGAACTTCAACTTCTTCTTCAACCCTAAACACAAGCTGTAAAACCAAACCGTCTAAATGGACAAAAGGACCACACTTCAATAAAACAGAATGCAAAGAGTTGATCTTACGAGGTAACATGTCACAGCTTAGATGTCTATTCAGTTTGTCCTCCAGTTTCAGCAGTAATGTTAGCTAAAAGAAGAGAAACAGAGAATTTTTTTAACTTCTGTACACCTAGGAAACAAATAGTTGGTATAATATCATGTTGTTGGTCAATGAGAGGAAGCTTAAATGTTGCATTCTGAATTTGTTAAACAATAAATGATCAATTTGTAAATGTTATTAAACAGACTCACATGAAACTTTGCTCCTTCCTCAACAGGTTCAGCATTACACTGCATATGAATGACCTGCAGGAGAAGTATGGTAATCTAAATATGAATGGTTTTCAAATAGTGTTGGTGAAATTTCAGAATACTTTACACAAATGTGCAGTCTATATTTCAAATAAGAGATTGATCATGAAAATGAGGAACTTTAGCGTCAAGATCATTACTTGTGAAAAGCCACCATTGTGACTGCATTTGTTAATATGCAGTATAGTTTGTTGTACGCACCCGCCGTGTCTCAAGCTCTGCAGGTTCAGGGGTGGGGGATTTGACCAAGGGGATGACAACAGGAGATTTAACCGTCTCCTGCTGAGGCTGCTGAGGACAGGGCAGCCCGAACGCTGTCATTGGATAAATACCATTCCTGACCCAGGGAGGGATAGAAAGACAAAGAAAGGGAGAGGTGGAGAAAACATGGAAGACAGAAAGCATGAATAAAAATGAAGACTTGAAAAAGGGATGCATGTTATATAAAGTAATTACAACTTGTAATTGGACTGAGGATGGACCAGTAACAAATTTAAGAAGAGATTAAAGAGAGGATGTGCAAAGTGATAGAAAACTGAATATTGATCCAACAAAATCTCCAGTTAAACTAAAATACACATAACGAAACAACAAATGTGTCTTAAAATTCCATATGTTCAGGTAACCAGGATGGATACATTACTGTACTGTGTCTAAAAACTAAAGGGAGCATACAAAAATAGTCACATAGTCCTTTACTGCCCCTGTGTGGCCAAATAGTGTTGTTGTATCTTTGGGGCTTAATAACATAAAAAGCTCACGTTAACAACTGAGCTTGTTCAAACCCTCACAGTATACAACACTGATTTGCTTCTCACCTCACATCCTCCAGGAATTTATCAAGCTCCAAAGCAGGAAACTGGAAAAGCCTACGGAGGGATAAAAGGAATCTCACTAATTATACAGTTTGAGGTATGAGGACCATAGAATTTCAAATGCGATAGTAAAATAAGTAATAAAATTATTAAGACAGGTGATTTTGACATTTTTTTAATGTTGTTACTGTGTTTAACTTATGCCTGCCATTTTATATTGGTAAATATATCTTTGTGCACTAAACAAATTAAGAATTTAAGAATAACATCAAAGCTGTTGTTTTTGTTTTGTTTTTTGGCTACTGTATCTGTGCCGAACACCACTGCCACATAGATACTGGTTTCGGGCCCTTACTTGAGCTGAACATCTTCTTTTGTCTCAGCGATGACCAGGTTGGGGTCCAGGTTCTTGGTCATCTCCTCTAGGGCATTTTCAGGGATCATGTCTGGATATTTATAAATCATTGAAGAATTATTGAATAAGGTTGACTTTTAGGATAAATATCTTAAAATTGATACTTGAATAAGTTTTAAGTGTGTTTCTGTATGGAAATCATTCTGGTATATTATAATGTGAACTCAGTGGCCAGTTTATCATGTAACCACTCTTTACAACTGTGGTGAGCAGAAAAACATGCACAACACGTTGAACCTTGAGGTGGATGGGATACAACAACAGAGGACCATGTTAGGTTCCTCTCATTGTCAGCCAAGAACAGAAATCTGATGCTGCAGTGAGCATGGGCTCAACAAAACTGGACAGTTGAAGACTGCGAAAACATAGCCTGGTCTGATGAATCTGGATTTCTGCTGAGGCTGCAGATGGTAGGGTCAGAATTTAGCATCGACAGCATGAGTCCATGGACCCAACCTGCCTTGTGTCAACAGTCCAGGCTGCTGATGGTGGTGGTGTAATGGTGTGGGGAATGTTCTCTTGGCTCACTTTGGGCCCCTTAATACCAATCAATTGTTTGAATGCCACAGCCTATCTGAGTATTGTTGCTGACCATGTGCAGCCCTTTATGACCACAGTTCACCATCTTCTAATGGATACTTCCAGCATGATAATGCACCGTGTTGCAAAGCAAAAGTTGTCTCAAACTGGTTTCATGAACATGATAATGAGTTCAGTGTACTTCAGTAGCCTCCCCAGTCATCAGATTTGAATCCAGTAGAACGACTTTGGGATGTGATAGAGCAGGAGATTCGCATCATGGATATGCAGCTGACAAATCTGCATAAATGATGTGATGCAATCATATCAATGTTTCCATTGTTTTGTGGAATCTATATCACGAATAACTAAGGCTGTTTTAAAAGAAAGGGGCGGACCAATCCAGTATTAGTATGGTGTTCGTAATAAAGTGCTGTGTGAGTGTACAACAACATCCGCATTCATTTAAGTCCACATTTTTTTGTCCACACAATTGTACAATGAACTCCAAAGAAAAATATGTTCTTCACAGTGTGTACTGCAGAGGTAGAGATGCTGGCAACTGTAAGCACGGTCCGAAAGTGTTTATGGTAGTGATCACTTACTAATTTGTGGTTAATTTGATTTTCTTTTTGTTAAAAGCCAATCAAAATTTCCCTTTATCACCAACCATGCATCTGAAATATATACTGTATATATAGAGTATGAGCCATGTCAAAGACATATTTCATTTACATCACATTGTGATGGACAGTTATTTACGAATCGGATGCACAACAAAACTTAAAATTTCTTTGTGTGTGTGTGTGTGTGTGTGTGTGTGTGTGTGTGTGTGTGTGTGTGTGTGTGTGTGTGTGTGTGTGTTAAAGACTCACGTTGGTGACTGACAATGCAATGTGCAGCTAGCAGTTTTAGCAGTGGTACTTCAAACAGAGCCTGGTTAAACAGCAGCTCTCTGGCTGTAGGTCTTGTACTGGGATCACACTCGAGGCACTTCTGTATTAACTCCTACAAAAACAAACATCTGTGTCACACTTTTCAAAGAATTGGCAAAAACTTTTCAAAGATGAATCTGGTATGATCTTTAAAGATACTCATGAACATGCAAACACATACTCCTCTCTCTTTATCTTACCCTCTGCAGTGGGTCCTCCAGTAACTGTATTTCACTGTTTATGGCCTCCTGAGAAACATTAGAGGACTCTCCATTCCCCTGGATCTCCAGGAGTGCCATCTGCAACACAGCAACAAACACGTTAACATATTGCTTTGAGATAGAGCTCAGGCCATTACATTGTATTATGGGTCTCATCTCACCTCTAATGCACACATGCCGAATGAATAGATGTCTACAGCTGTGGTGACATCATCAACAGCTACAAAGACATAAAGAATATAATTTCGACATCATGTCATAAATCATTTTGTGAGAAACCATATACTTTTAATGACTTTAATGAAATTAAGAGATTGCTTATTCCTAAAAGCAGCACTAACTTGTAAAATGTAATCCAATATATCTGTATCATCCGGTTTATTCTGGAGGTCAGGAAACTGTCTATATCAGTAACAACAGAAATAACTATAAAGTCTCATTTTGGTCATGTCTACCTCCATACTCTGGAGCAAAGAAGTGCATGTTCTTCTGTTCCTCACGACAAGTCTTCACATGGTTGTTAATGGTGTCTGGAGCAACTGCAGATGAGGCAGGGATACAGAGGATATGTAGAGGTAGGATGGTGAACAGTGAGAGAAGTGAGTACGAAGCAGTAAGATGTAAAAATAAAGACCAAGGACGTAGAGAAAGACAAGAAATAAATAATGTGAATGAGTCAGGACCAATTAGTACTACATTTACATTGTGCAAATTATCATGAATGTTTGGAAACTGTTCTTTAGCGGACAGGGAGTGCAAGAGATAAAAACAAAGTGCATAGATGCTTTTGTTGCCAGCATTTTGTGTACACACAACAGTGGTTTTCTAAACCACATAACACACCACCACTTTGCTCACATCTTATGCAATGCAATGCAGAGTTTTTTTTAGTACAAGACAAAAGCAATATTGCTATTATTTTTGTCACATGGAAAGACTTGACTTTAGTTAAAGTGCCAAAATTGTTAAGTTAAAGTGCCAAAGTGACTGTTACTTTTGTACATACAACCCTGGTACTTTGGGATCATGGAACTTTAGCACACCATTATGTGAAATTTCCAGCCTTTAAATCCATAATTCAGCAACATTCGATGCCATCAACAGCACTCAAGCTCCACTACCTAACACAGTGGGAGGAAACCAGTGTAATTCTATACCTGAGCCGATCTTGATGAGCCCGTTGTGCTGAATGAAGATGGTGTCACAGGTCAGGTTGCCATGGATGATGGGTGGGTCACATGAGTGGAGATAACTGCTCAATAGAAAAAAAAAAATCACAAATACATACAAAGAACATAAAAAAGGGTCTGGATTATTTTCCACTTGTGTACATTTTCCCAAGAAGGTCCATACTGAATTTAACATGTCTGAAAAAGGGAGACCAACCTGAGAGCAGAAAGGATCTGTGTGCACCATCTCTTCCAAGCCTGTAGGACCATACATCTTATCAGAGCACTTCCTTGCTGGTTACCAGTATGGATTAACTACGGCTTGCATTATATCAAGGGGCCAAATGCTACACGGGACATTTGCAGTTTCTTTCCCTTTTGCTCACCATCATGTAAATGCCAATTAATTTGTTTATCAGACTGTTCAAACTGCCCGTCACTCCAGAAAGCTTATCTCATTCAAGATACGAAGCTCATTTAAAGAAAAAAACATTCATAAACCCTTATTCTATCAAAAGTGCATTTACATAGTCAGTTATTACCTTTTCATTCATGCTCTTGTGATTCTTCTTTGTCTTCTTCAGGAACTGCTTCAAGCTTCCTGATGACATATATTCAGTGATGAAAATCACCTGAGGAAGAGGAAGAAATAAGGGGATAATAGACAGATAATAGACATTGTTCAAATGTAAATTAAAAAAAAGGAAGATTGGTTTCATTTTGAAAATGGTGATACTATTTATGCAGCTGACAGGAAGAAAATTCAATAATGTCTTGCAAGGCCAGAGACTCACCCTAGCCCGGTTCTCCTTTGTGTCAGCCCAGTACTTGTGAAACTTCACAATATTTGCATGTTCCAAATGGATCAGGTTATCAAATACAGCCTTCACTTTCTCCTAAACACAAACAAAAAAATATGTATAAGTATAGCACAATTATAATAACTTAATAATACATTTTACGTTTGCACTGATGCTTCTGTACCTGGCTGATGGGTAATACAGTTTGAAATAAATATTTATATTAAAAAAATCTATAAGGAATTACTTTTCTCTACAGTAGAAAGTGTTTTAACCAACAGATGTCTCTGGTAACCATTATATCTAGGTTTCCAACTGAGCTGCCCATTATTATTATTGTCAATATTATTTTTTAATTAAAATGTTACATAATGGATCTATAAGGGAGTGGGGCACTTCAATTTCACTAGCATTGCTTGACACTGCTTTTCCCACATTGCATTGACCCTGAGCTACATCATTTTCACTACTATAACTATCACTAGTTTATGTCTTCTTTTCTAAAAGAGAAAGTTTTACCTAACCAATCTTTATATTTTTATAGCCTGTACGTGTGCATTAACTACTGAAGCACATAAAGATTCATGAAAGTAAGTCAACTGTGCATTCTTTCCCCTTTTTTACATTTTGAGATCAGATATTGACCGAAACTGAGATGAGTTGACAGAGAAAAATATGTTTTGTTAATGGCCCATCTATATTCAATTAAATGTACAAGTCAAGAAAACAAGAAAATCAGTTCATAATCACCAAAACGACTATCTTTAACGTTTTACGTCTACTCTGTAACACTGAGCCTCACCTCCAGCAGTTTGAAGTTCTTCCTCTCTGATATCATGACTTCATTCCAAACTACCTCCACCCCTTCCTCTGTGTCCATAGCCAAGTATGCAGCATCTATCCCAGGCACATTACGCTGATTCACCTATATGTGAGAGGAAAAAAATCGCATATGAGATCATATATTTAAATTGTGAAATGTAATACAAGACACAGAAAAATAAGTTCTGGAAAAATACTGAACAACAGAACAATTTGTGAGAAGCAACCCTTTTGTGCCCATTCTAAAATCTCTTGATAGGATAACACACTGGCTAGTTTGAGTGCAGCATTGCCTTGATGTTACTTGATACTTATGACTTATGAAGTGTAAATAACATGAAAAAGGGGGATATTGACAAAAGAAAATCATACCATCATAGAAAATACTATAGTTTGATTGTTCTGAAATGGATAAATAACAAAATATTCCATATAATATTTTATTCTTAACTAGAAGAAAATGATATGGTGTGTGACAAAAAACACATGTGCAGCAATGTGAAAAGGATGGCCCAAGATTATTGCATCCATCAATCAAATTAACTGAGCTTCATGACACTTGTCTACATACTCAAGGGTCAAGTCACTTTGAATTTTGACTGAAGAGAAATGTTCTGTCTCACAGGGTAACTTTTAACTTAATGATGGTTTGAACAGTTCATACTTTATCCATTATTTTCACCTGATACTATGAAAGCAAAGCATCCTAACCCCCTTTACCTCCTCCCTGCGTTTCTGCCAGCGGCCACAGGGACTCTCCTCCAGAATTTCTGATTCGTCTTCACTCTCATCCTCATCCTCCGTTGCTGTGGGAGCAGGAGGCTGTATGGAGGCCACAGATGCTCCACCTTGTACCTGTTGAGTGTTACTAGACATGTGTCCTGCTGTGACATCTGCCTTTTTACTAGCTGCAGGTGAAGCTTCTTTTTCTTCTGTCTCAAACATCATGACACAATTTCTGCTGGCTTTCCTTCTCTAGGCTCCTGTTCCTGAGCTGTAACAAGCAAGGAAGCCACTTTCTTGCTCGCCCCCTCCCAGTAAGAGGTGGTCACATATCCCTCTTCTTCTCTGGCTTGGCTTTCAACAAGGTAGAGCTCAAGGAGGGACGACTGTAAACAAATGACACATGTTAAAGAAGGCTTGTTTTAGGATGCTACTGCTACCTTTGATAACAACGTAACAAGTATAATCTTTTCTAACATTAAGTAGTACTTTCCGCATAGGTTAGTTAACTTCTGAGCGACAATTTATGCCGTATGCTTCATTGGTAGGTTAGACTCTTGAGACAGAGAACCACTACTGTGACAGAACACCAAAAGTGTAGTCAGTCCAACTAACCAGCTATTGTAGCTAACTTTCCCTCGGCTAGCAAGCCTATGAAAGGTAAATAAATAAATACCTAACACAAAGTTTACTTGCAATATACAAAAATCTTACCGTGGAACAGAAAACTACCAGTGAATGAAAAGCCCTCGGTTACATAATGACGAAAACACAGTAAAATTAGACGCTTTTAGTCAAAAATGCTAGTTCGTCATAAAAATTTGTTGATGGGTTTCAAGTCCCTTTCTCTTGGCAGAAGTGGGAGGGGCGGGCAGAACTTGGGGAGCGCTTGTTTGCGCGGAGAAAACGCAGTGGTGTAGTTGCTACTAAAACATGCCAATAAGTAGAACACACGGGGTTGAATGACAAATATTACATTGACTACACCGTCAAAATATTACCACACACTAGCAAATGTTATTTTACTTAACTAACTTTAATGTTCCATCTATGTGCTCTAATCTGTTGAGTCCTGAGTACATATAACGCCCCCACAGCGCATTGTGCGTTTGTTTAATGTCCAGCACAGCGCCGGTAAAATAGCGTTTGGTAGACAAATTTATATTATTCAGCTACAAGTACTAAATTACTTGTAATAAATAAAGACTTCATAACAACAAGCTTTTTGGCCAAAGCAATAAAGGGTAGAATTTTTTTGTATTTTAGAAGCACAGTTACCGACTCAATTTTCATGCAGGAGCTCAAATCAAGCGCACTCAAATATGGTTCTGCTGGTGAGCGGCGCCAGACAAATCAAGATAGTTCCCCTCTCCAAGGCCAGTTTGGAGGCATCGGTTCGCGAAAGGGCCGTTTGCTTTACAGCTATGTAAACAAGTGTTTATATCTCACATAGCGATTTAAGTAAATTATTAAACATACGCATTTTGTTCTGTTTGGATATATTAAATGCATATTTTTCAAAAGAAGAAAAGTTTAGTTCAATCTTATTGGTAGTTTAGGCGAAAACGGAAGTTGTGAGAGGTGCACAATCTCGCCTCGCTTGTAGAGGGTTGTACAGCTGTTTTCACGTTGCTAAAATTCTGCGCAAGATGTTATCCACGATTTACGTGCAAGGCAGTGATGCAAACAAGCCCTCTGGAAAATAAAGGAATTGTTGTGTGGCAGCTTTTTGGATAAAAAAAAACCGCTGTCTCTCCTCATCCACTATGCGGAGGCTCAATGATACCGACGCCGTGCGCATAGGTCGCATGTAAGGGATATTTTATGGAAGGTGGGACGAGGGAGAGGTTGTGAGGCTGGGGAATAGGGGCATCAGCTGAGCTGGAGAGAGGAGCGTTAGCAAGCTAGCTATCGTGACAGTAGCGGGTATAACGGAACAGTGACTTTTCCACACAATACAACAACCCGCTGGTTCCGTTCAGTAATCATGGCTACTAATGGTAACAACAACTTAATGCCTGGGATGGGGGAGATCATCCAGTTGAACGTCGGTGGGACAAGGTAGGCTTCCTCATCATCATACTGGGAATTTGAGCTCTGGCCACGTACATCATGTATGATGCTATCTGCATTAAAGTAGATAAACCATTCCATGGTTTTCATTACACTTTTTCCCATTCACTTTCTTATTTTTTCTCTCTCACGCGCAATCTCTGGGTAGTTCAAATTGAACATTATGTACAGGTTTATTATTGCGGTGTAGTGATGAATTTCCTCAGAACGGCAACTTTCATTTCATCAGTGTTATGACTATGAATATAATGCCTCTCGGTCAAAATTTCCATGCTCATAAGTGCATTTACATTCTCTATTTCAGTGTTGTTTGTAATAAATGTGCTATTGTGTCCTTGTACTGTAGGTTCAGCACCTCCAGACAGACTCTGATGTGGATTCCAGACTCTTTCTTCTCAAGGTTGGTTAAATGTTGACTCTCTACCAAAGCAGACGGTGCATGGAATATCTGGGCTGTTTATGCAAGTGCTTTTCCCTCTTTATCTCTACGTGATCAACTAACGAGATGTTACATGAATGCTATTCAGGTTACACTGTGAAATGTTAATGTTAATATTTCAAAGCAGGACTAACATGAGACTCAAAGGGATTAAAATTACCTTGTCTGTATTCCCCCAGAGATAGATAAGATAAATAAACTATACTGGTACTATGGCTACAGCATGTAGGAGTTCAACCAGAAACAGGTCAAAGACTCAGTGAGCACGCTATGGTGCAGCCACAACACAGTAACACAAAATTTGTATTACATAATTAATGTTAAGTAGGGATGTTCCATTATCCCGTCTCTATCTTGATTTGAGCTTCAACAATTCTGGTGATGGAAAATGTCAGGGGATTACAATTACAGTCCATGTAAATGTTGTATGTTTTATTTGGTATTTTAGTGAGACAAATGTCTTGTTTTGTATTGACCCCGTACTCACTGCAAACACTCATTCCATGTTTTGAGATTTTTTTTTAAATATATGTTTGGCATGGACATGTTTTTCAAATCCTTTGAGTGAGTTATTTAGTTGTGATTCCAGCTCTAGAGGGAAACACACTGTTAAAGTGAAACAGCTGATTGGGGCTAGGCAAATACCATGGTTGTTACAAACTCAAACACTAGACTGAGCTCATAGTTTGACAACAGCTGAGCAAGTAGTGCTAAATGCTGTCAGACTGTCTGCCAGAGCACCTGTCTGCCTGCCTGCCTGCCAGTCTCATTGCCCCCAGCTGTCTACAGTGTGCTGCCAATATAAGTCAATTCTCATATAAATTCTTGAATTAGATGTAGAACATCAACACAAATGTGATGGCTAATAGCAGCATGTGCTGATACAGTAATAATCTGAAGTCAGCAGGTCAGCAGGTTAGAGTGTTTGTAACTGTTCAAATAATTTATGTGTTTACTGCAGGTACTGGTAATACTGCTGGTGTGTGGAAATGGAGAAGTGCTTGGGTTAACTGGATCACTGTGTGTGTGTGTGTGTGTGTGTGTGTGTGTGTGTGTGTGTGTGTGTGTGTGTGTGTGTGTGTGTGTGTGTGTGTGTGTGTGTGTGTGTTTTTCAGTTTGCTGAGTGGAAGGATATCCACTCTTCGGGATGAAACTGGAGCTGTGAGTATAACCTTTGTTGCTTCTTTTTCCAAAACTAGCATCTGCTGGCCTGACATCTGACAACTGAGCATTCTTTGAAAGCTTACAGCAGATAGGACATCATAACATTTGTTCTGTTATGATGCAACTTAATGAAATATGACGCATGGCCTTAAGATTACATGTGCATGCTCAGGAACAAATAAGACCATTTGAGACCGTATTAGACAAATTCTGCGGCCCATGATCAACGTTACATGGTGACATTTTGTTTTGTGTGACCAACAGCCTAAAATCCAAAGTTATTCAACTTACAGAAAATCATTTGAGGAATTGAACCCAACAATTCTGTGGTATTTTTGCTTGGTATTACACTTTTCTGAAGTTGTTGTTGATTCTCATTTAATCATCATCAATGTTTTTGGGTGGTCTGTCCGTCCATCCATCCGTATGTCTGTTTGTCTGTTTGTCTGTCAACCATACGTCCGTCTCTACATCCTATTCTTGTGAATGTGATATCTCGGCACAGACATTCACTTGGACTCAAAGATGAACTGATTAGATTTTGGTGGGCAAAGGTCAAAGTTCAAGATCACAGTGAACTCACATTCGTGTGAATGCGAGAATAATACAGGAATAATTTCCTGCAACTTGACTGGTTGGCAGAGGCATACAGTTGCGAGGTAGTAATTCAAGTTTTAGCACTAATTTCATGATCTGTTTCTGTTGCTGTAAAGAGTTGTTTTTAACACCACAGAACAGATGATTGTCCTTAGTGGATAATACATTTAAATGTGATCATTAACTTCTGTCAGTATTACAATACCACCAGGCTAGATGCACACAAGTAACTGCTGAAGGTGTTGAGTGTTCAGCAGTTACTTAAATAAATGGTTAATGATTCCCTGCATTTGCATTTGCATCATAAAATATGTTCCTCACTTGCAGATATTTATTGACAGAGACCCTACAGCTTTTGCACCAATTTTGAATTTCCTCCGAACCAAAGAATTGGACCTGCGGTAAGGAGCCATGACAGCATTCAGAAAATATCCCTGAATGTTTCTTTAGGAAGACATTATGTTGAGTTGTAAGCAGGGTCTTACTGAATACATATGCTGCTTTTTTTCTCTTTGTAGGGGTGTCAACATCAGCGTCCTACGGCATGAAGCAGAGTTTTACGGGATAACTCCTTTAGGTATGTTGCTTTCTTAGGGTTTTTTAGGGTAGAGTTTTATGAGGAAATGGATGCAGCAGCCTTGTTCTTGGCAAGTACTGATGCTTATAGACATAATGGAAACATCAGGGGATAACAACAAGTTTGTTTTGCATACAGTATATTTTTATAAAACATTTTCTAGAACTATTGTCAATGAAGTGAAATGTTGTCTTGTAATGTCAAATGTGTTTTGGCTTCAAATTCAACTTAACCAAGGTCAGAACCTTAATACTGCCAAGTCCATGTACTCTAATGTTGTTTTACTTCCTGTTTCACTGTTTGTAACTTCCCTACATTGTCTGTGTACTTGAATGGGTAATTCACCTGATCAGTGATACTGATCACATCCTTCAAATCATGACAAACACTGGCACACGATTTACAATATAATACATACAATATAAATTAAATACAATATGTACTGGATTGGTCCAACTCAGAAACAAAATCCAGTCAGTCATAAGGAATTTCCAAGTGAAAAAAATGAATTAATGAATGCATTGAAAAAAACGAAATGAAGAAACAATGGTACCTTGTTTAAAATATAAAGAGCAAAAGGACATTTTATTATTGCAATTGATAAGACTGCAGTGTGTGTGTTTGTGTGTATATATGCAGTGCGGCGCCTGTTGCTGTGTGAGGAACTGGACCGCTCATCATGTGGTAGTGTTCTCTTCCATGGTTACCTGCCTCCCCCAGGTAAAGACATGAAACTGAGTAACAGAGAAAATGAACTGAAAATAAAACAACTGTGTTAGTTATAGACATCATATTCTACTGATGTTTCACAAAACAAAGTTCCAGAATAGAAATGACCTGGTTTCAAGTCACAGAATAGTACAGAGACACAATTCAGCTGAAATTTCTGTTTATAAATCTCAGTGAATCTTTCCTTGACAGCCATCCCCGCCCGTAAATCAAATCCTGCCTCAGCAGCCTCTGGCGCCTCCTCTGAAGAGCGGCCAGGTCCGAGTGGAGCAGAGGGCTTCACCCGTGTCGGTCCCCCTCCTCAACCTTCTTTCCCTGGCTCACCTGGAACAGAACACAAACTGGGTGAGTATCCCAGAGCAGCCTTATGAAGTGAAAAGGCAAATAATGGTGATAATATGTAGATTATATAAATGTTTACAGCTTTTGTGAGCAACTGAAAGAAATTCATCTCAGTTTGTGATGATCAGATGATGGAGCAGTGACTCATATTTTGCCAGTGACTTGTCAGTAGGAATATGGGCCTATACCCTGCTACACCGTCTGTCTTCTGCCTGACATTCACACAGGCAGAAGACAGACGGTGTAGACATGCACTGTGTGTCTACTCTATATGATCTTGTATCTCTACAGGTAATGTCTGGGTTTGTCCAAATGTTCATTTGTATGTCACATCTGTATGTGTGTGAGATTAGAGGGTATATATGCATATGTTTATGCTTGTTCACATCTCTGTGAGCGTGTGTATGTTTCTGTGAGTGTGCATTACTGCCTCAGCTAATGTGACCTGACACATCCTTTTAGTGCGCTGACTGAACAGCAGTGCAGAGAGTGTAATGAGCTGCCATAGACAAATACTGTGCCTGGTTCTAGATGTTCTAGATTCAGATAAATAATGAAAAATAGGGTGAAAAGATAATGCAGTCGTCAGGCTATGAAAGAAGTGTATTTATGTGTATTTTTTCTGTGTGTGTGTGTGTGTGTGTGTGTGTGTAGGTCCCGTGGTTGACCCCAGGAAGGTGTTGATTATAGCAGGGCACCACAACTGGATTGTAGCATCTTATGCACACTTTGTCATTTGCTACAGGTAATACTATCCCAGCATATTAAGCACATTTCTTATTTGCTTTATAGTTCATAAGGGGGAGACATTAAATCATTTATGATGGGAAGATGGCATCATTTTCTGTTGTATGTCAAATTTCTTGCTAATTCCTAGTGCACTGCATCTGTTCCAGCTCAGTAGCTGTCATTTTAGGCTTGATTCATCCATTCGTTTAGTCAGATTACTGAAATATTTATTTTTATTAAAACAAGCAGACAAGTTGAGAATAAAATGTTGGTTTAATAATGTAGAAGAAATCATTTTTTCATTTCATTTTCATCATTTTTTAACAATGTGGTTATGGACTGTGACATTTTAAACATGTAATAATGGTGTTAATAAAAGCAGATATGACTGAAAAAGACTCAAGTAAAGATTAAAAAACCTAAGAGGAATTGATTCAAGATGAACATGTGGAAGTCAATAGCGCTGCCCACATGTTTTAAACATACAGGTCTCTATCAGGGCATGCTTGTGACACTTGTGGTTGTCTGCTCACATCCTTATGAAAGCTCATAGGTATTAGACACACTTTTGTTTTAAACCAGCTTCTTCATGGCAGATCTGCGTGTTTACCACTGACCTCGACTTTGAAGTTACAAAGCTCTGTATTATGGTAAATCAATAACAACAAAAAAAAATGAAAGCAGAGAAGAATATTTGTGCATCTGTGATCTCATTAAAGGATAAAGGAATCTTCTGGATGGCAGCAGGTGTTTTCCTCCCCCTACCTTGACTGGACCATTGAACGTGTCGCACTTAATGCCAAGGTGGTGGGTGGCCCACATGGAGACAAGGACAAGATGGTGGCCGCTGCCTCTGAAAGCAGTATCATCCTCTGGAGCATCCAAGATGGAGGCAGTGGTAATGAGATAGGTAGGTTTATACCACAGAATTACAAAGTGTGGTCCAAACAGAGAAATTTAAATTGTAGTGACTACAGCCTCACTGTCACTCTCAATCCACCCTCCCCTGGCCCCAAAACGACCCCCAGGTGTGTTCAGTCTCGGTGTACCTGTTGATGATCTCTTCTTCATCGGGAACCAGCTGGTGGCGACGAGCCACACAGGGAAGGTCGGGGTGTGGAATGCTGTCACACAACACTGGCAGGTACGAGGGTGAATGTGCATGTGTGTGAGCGTGTTTATGTGAGACAGAGAGAGGTGGAGGAAAGGTGGGTGTTTCTGTTTCACTGTGTATAAAAACAAATGTAGTAGTAGTAATGAGTACAATATATATAGGTGATGAGTTACTGCGCTGATTGTGTGCTCACTTTTTTTGTGTGTATCAGGTTCAAGATGTGGTTCCCATCACTAGCTGTGACACGGCAGGATCCTTCCTACTGCTGGGCTGCAATAATGGTTCTATCTACTACATAGGTACACACATGTTCACAGACATACATACACCGGTGCACATATAGGGTGAGCTAACTTTTGTCTGTCACTCAATTTATTGGACATTAGTGAAATCCAGTGGAAATCCCTTTTTCAGTTAAAGGGTGTGGTACGGCCAATGATTGCTCTCTCATGTTTTTGAATGTATAAAATGCTATAAAACTCCAACCTAAGCACATATAATTTGGCCCTCCTCTTCCTTTCAGACATGCAAAAGTTTCCACTGAGGATGAAGGATAATGATCTTCTCGTGACTGAGCTTTATCATGACCCTTCAAACGATGCCATCACTGCGCTGTCTGTCTACCTCACACCTAAAACCAGTAAGTAGTTACTGTTTTTCATCAGGCTGTTGTTTTTCTAAAATTAAAAAAAGCTTCAGGAAATTGTGTTCTTGCGTACACCTGTCTATCATCTCCTTCAGATCAGTTTCACCTCCTGGGATATAGACATAACGGACGTAAGTCACAGTTAACTGACCAGACATTAAAACATTGTGTCTGTTTGTGTTCATGTTGTGTTTTTCTGTCTTCTCTTCCCTTTCTCTGCGCTCAGGTGTGAGTGGGAACTGGATAGAGATAGCCTATGGGACTAGCAGCGGTGCTGTGAGAGTGATCGTGCAACACCCGGAGACAGTGGGATCAGGGCCCCAGCTCTTTCAGACATTCACTGTGCACAGGAGTCCGGTGACAAAGATCATGTTGTCTGAGAAACATCTGGTATCAGGTGAGGAAGGTGTTAACAGGTCGGAGGTTTAGTCAGTCTCCCTGCTGATGGAGTGATGGTTGAGATAAGGAGTGTAGGTTGTAGAGGATTATACAAGACAGCAATACAAACGCAGACTATTGACAATGATCCAATCATCTTTTGTTCTTCTGTTTTTTTCGTGTGTGTCAGTGTGTGCAGACAACAACCACGTACGGACGTGGACGGTGACCCGATTCAGAGGGATGATCTCCACCCAGCCAGGCTCCACCCCTCTGGCCTCCTTCAAAATCCTGTCCCTGGAGGAGACGGAGAGCCACGGGAGCTACTGCTCTGGGAATGATATCGGTGAGAGAGATGAGAGGGGAAGATTAAATGTGAGAGAAGGACCAATGCAGTTGAAACAATTTGTGAATGATTTGATTAGTCGATCAACAGACAAATAATCAGCAACTATTTTGATGATTGATGAATCATTTCAGTCATTTTTCAAGCTAACTTTGTTTTGTATTATTTGTAGCCCTAGATAGATTGTCTGAGACTGTGCTCGGAACAGAGCTATAGATTTGGGATTAGCATTAGGAGTAATGAGTGGATCTTGTCTTTCAAATTCAGTAGATAAGAGTCAACAATATGCAGATATGATGAGCTTGTTTCCAGCTGTTCCTCTCATCTCTAAAGCACTGAATTACACAAAACACCAATCACATGATTCAAACTCTAATTTTTCTCGTTGTTTCTCATTTCTCATTCTCATCGCAATTCTATATTTGTGTTCTTGTGTGTTCTGCCAATATTTTGTGGTGGTTAAGTTGGCTCTGGGTGCAAGATGCCAAAGCTCAGGTGGTGTGATTTCTGCTCTCAGGTCCATTTGGAGAAAGAGACGATCAGCAGGTTTTCATCCAGAAGGTCATCCCTATCACCAACAAACTGTTTGTGAGGCTCTCATCAACTGGAAAAAGGTATAATGTCCTCCACCTATCTTTCTCTTTCAGCCAGTGTGTAACTGTGTTTACTGCATGATGCTCCCTCTCACTAAATCTCTTCCTTTCCCTTTATTGGCACTGTTTGTGTTTGTCAGGATCTGTGAGGTGCAGTCAGTGGACGGGACCACCATCTCTTGCTTCATGGTTCGTGAGTGTGAAGGTTCCAGTCGGATGGGGTCACGACCTCGGCGCTATCTGTTCACTGGTCATGGCAATGGCAGCATCCAAATGTGGGACCTGACCACTGCGATGGACACCGCTAACAAAGGAGAGGAGAAGAAGAAAGAGGGTGAGGAAATAGAGATTGCTAGATGGAAGACAGACAGGGAGGCTGAGAGAGCGACAGATTTGGGGAGATCATCACTGTATGCATTCATGGGAGAAGAGACGAAGAGCAACTGTAATGTAAGACAGTATGTCTGTGGCTACATTTACTCACCTCATGGATATACAGTTTATACAGTAGACTACACTTCCTAGGATTCAATGTAATTGTTTCTTTTGATGAGATACTGTGTGCAAGTGCTCTGAATCTGCTTTTGTGTTTGATAGATGTAGGTGGGCCTACAGAGGAGGAGCTGCTGCAGCTGTTGGATCAATGTGACCTGAGCACCTCCCGCTGTGCTACACCAAATATTAGCCCTGCCCCCTCTGTGCTGCACCACACACGCCTGCGAGAGTCCTGCTCAAGGTTGGAAAGAAAGTTCACACACACACGGTGTTAAACAAACAAACAAGCAAACACACACACACACATACATACACAAAAGGAAACAGCCAGCTACCTTCAGCTCTTTATCTTTCTAATTCTGACTCATACATCTTCATATATCTTACGTGCTGTATATACAAAAGAATTAGGAACTGTCTCTGTTTAGCGATGCTACATGGCTAATAATTAGAGTGAAGAACACCCTCTTACAGTAAGATAAACAAAGACTTGAAGTCTTACCTGTCTCCATGTCTTTTCTTTCCTTCAGTCTGCAGTTACAGGCCCCGGAGCCCATTCCTGAGAGCCAGGCTACTTATGGGGCTGTGCGACCCTACAGAGAGAGCCCCCTACTGGCCCGCGCTCGGCGAACTGAGTCCTTCCACAGCTACCGGTGAAATATTTGTTTGACTGTCCAGACACTGTACTTAGTTAAAAGCTTAGTTCATCCAGACTTTTTTTTTTTTAATTTAAGAATGAAACCCAGTTTTAGAGTGTGTCCTTTTGTGTGCCAACGATCTGATTATGCTGGGTGCATTTACACCTGGAAAATGCTGATCTGTTTCTGTCTTGCATCTTTCCCTCTCTCCACCCTTAACTGACGGACGTGCATCCATTTCTGTTTCCATAGAGACTTTCAGAACTTTAGCCTGAGTCGAGGTGTCTTGGACAGCACGGGTCAAATTTCCATCCAGGGCCCCAGCCAGGTTCTAGACGCCCGCCGTTCACTTTGTGACTTTGGGCCCGAGGACGGTGACAGGAGATCCTCAGCAATGGAGCTCTGGGCCTGCCGAACCACCGGTGCAAACTCTAACATAAATGTCACGGGTTTGACTGCTGCTTGTCTCTCTGGGGCGAAGGCAGAAGGCAGTCAAGAAACTCCACGGCAACCTCCAGACAGCCCGATTCCAGGGGCTGACGTTAGGCGAAAGGTGCACCCACAAGAGGAGGGAGAAGGTGTGGGATCCGGGGGAGATGGGGCAAAGGCAGAGGGAGGTGTGAGGAAAAGGGGAGTACTAGAAGGAGGCTTTTTAGGGAGGAAGAGGGCTCCCCCAGTTCCTCACCTGTCCTCCCTCCCTTCCAGTTCTGAAGGTGGTGGCAGTGACTCATCTGCAAATGCTTCCCCTTCCCCAACCAAACTAGCCTCCTCCACCTCGCCTCGACACAGGAAGCTGGCCCCAGAGCCATCCAATCAGGACAGCAGCCTGTGAAAACGCATCTGCCCACCACCCATTTGTTTTGATCCCACGCAGTGGAATCATTTCATAGAGGCGTCCTGTTGGTGCATGAAGGACCTGTTGTGTCAGATTCAGGATTTAAATAGGTAAAGGTTTCTTTTGGGAGCCCACAGATAATGAGTCTGTGTCTCAGCACAGAACTTTCACTATGTTTGCTCCCAAGGCTGAAAAACTTTTATTTAAACTTTACACCTTTCATTTAAGTCAGTGGAACTTCATAGTTTTGAGTACAAAACCTGACAAGAGGAAGCAGTTACAGCGCTAGCATCATGACATCTCAACCAGAGCAGGAATGCATCTTCTTTTTGATCATTCTTGTAAAATGGACCAGGGCTCCTACTATCTCCATTTGCTTTTGGTGACTGGTGATGAGGTTAACACTTTGAGGCATGGGGCTGATAGTAATTTCCCAGCTCAGTGCTGAAGAACTGCTGTAATTGTTTTCTCTTCCTGTGTTGTTGTTCACTCGACAGCTTAGCATACAGTAACTGCAGGAACAGGCAAGTCTGTTTGCTCTGGTATGGTCAAGGGTGTGTTGCTGCCTGTTTGGTTTGAAGCACAATCAAGTGTTAATCCACAGATAAGACTGAATTCATTAAATCATCAAGGCTCATTAAATTAAAAAAAAAAAAGATAGCACAGTACAGTACTATTAACAGAATGGGGGGTTTCTAATATTTGAATAATGTGTTATTCAGCTTGTGAAAGCCTTAAACAGCCACAAAATAGAATTGACAAAGGCACACACCCCGTTAATTTATCAGATTTTTAAGGTGTTTTTACTGACTTGTAGTCTGGTAGGAATTACTATGTTCAGAACTTGACCTCAACCGTTTAAGCGTACACAAAATATCCAGATTTAAATGGAAGTCATGTAAAATTTCTTAAGATCTTTAACTAACAATTATTTTCATTGAGTAATCTAATTTACAATTATATAAAATAGAAAAAAACAGCAAATCCGCACATTTGGGAAACTGAAACCTGCTGAAAGGTTTTCATTAATCATCAAACAATTAACTGAACAAAATTTTCAGCACTTCCATGTAGATTTGTCAAAAGGATCAGATCTCTTTCAGAGACAGAACTCATGATGATATCAAGCATCTCTGACAATGTGCAAATTTGTCTCACAGTGGATTTTTTCTTACCTTAAACACATTACCTTTGACAGAGGCTTGGCAGCTACTTGAATCCCAAAATGTCAAAAAAAAACTTTGCTGTGGCCAGAGAAGCAACGGGTATTGTTGTTAAACCAATGACACTAAAAATTGACAGACAGTAAGCAGTAAAGTCATGTTGCAGCTCCAGCATACAGTCAAACCTTTGTTGTTTGACAGCTCTATGATAACTATGAGACCGTGGAGTTGTGAAGCACAACAGCTAAAACAGACACTGTGGTTTTCACTTGAAGTCTTCATGAACGCCACATAGAGAGACATGTAACACATGAGTGATAGCTTGAAAAAACAATGAATACTCATGTGAATGGGTGGCTGCTTTTCACTGCAACTGGTTGTTTAATATTTTGCTTTTTTATTTACAGACCAGTTGAATTCTTAATTTATTTTTAGCATAATTAAAAAATTGGCAAAAAATGTAAAAAAAACAAACAAACAAAAAACTGTATTCCAATGCAGCAATTTGAGGGATTTTCATTCAACATTTGTAAATGAGAATTTGAAAACAATTTGGTGGCACACAGCTGGAACCTTCAGTTTAAGGGACGGACTTGTTTTGTTTTTTTTTTTGTAGATGTATCCATTATCGGTTAAGATATCACACTCACACTAACAGTGACAGCATAACACCTTCAGCTACATATTATATAGGAACAAAGTATGTTTTTAATGCTTTATGGTTTACTTATTCATATCTAAACAGAGAGAAATCATTTGGCACATGTTTTACTGCTCTTCAGTCAGTTAGAAAAAATCTCACATTTGTGCTCATAGTTCACAAGTAAGAAAAACTAGTTGTGTTCCTGTTTATATTCAGTCTGTTTCTTCACGGTGGTGCCTGTGCAAGATCACACTAATTATTATTATTTATATTTTATTTTTTTAAAGCATCACAATATAACTACACTCAACTCAATAGAAGGACCTACACTACTTCACTTTACTCCCTTTGAAACAGGTGGTGATGTGTCTTATCTTGTTTTGGATGACTGTTGCAGTGCCTTATTTAAAATTGTTTGACGGTTATCAGCCTGTTTGTGTGTTTTAGTTGAAAAAAATTCTGACCAAAGGCTTGTGAAGGTGGAGCTCACTGTGGAGCCACATAACGGACCTGTCCACTCTGGCTTTGGCTAGAATTGCCTAATGGTAGATTCACACCAGGCCAAATTAGATTTTATGACTGTGTATGGTAAATCATTGATGTATGGTCATTTGAATTGATAGGCATTAGATATCTCTTGTAAATAATCCTGAAATAGACTATAACTGGAAAGTCCATCTCATTTCCCAACATCAGAGGAACTTTGATCACTAGCTTGTTCTTATGAAGGTAAAACATGAGTATACGCTCTGTAGGAGACAAAAGCAAGGCACCTTGGTTGTGTAATAGTGGGCCTAAGAGGACTGGATAGCTTAAAGTAAAATGGTAGCAACCTTTTATTAGCAAAATCATTTTGTGAGTTAAACCTTCTTCTCTATTGTTCAAACCTTTTGGAGCCACTGGAAGAGTTTAGCATAAGTTAAAGAAACCAGGCCAGCTCTTGATCTACGGTACTTTTGTTGTAACTGTGGGGACAACACGCTGTAAAATGGATGTGACGGTAAAAAAGCTGAGGTAGAACTAGAAAGACTTTCCTGAAATGTTAATTATAATTTGCCAAATGCAGCAGCTATATAAACTCACACATTGCTTATCATTTCAGAATAAAAATATAACATATGTGGTTTTTGCCGGTACAAAGATGTACATTTTGATACACAACCGTTTGATATACAACTGTACTTTAAGTAGACATACATATTCAAAACAAAATCCTAATACGGATGCATTGATGTGTGTGATTGTGTGTTGGTACTTACACTGCTGTTCATTACATATTGTTGATAATCATATAATGCCTATATTGATATTACCATGCTATTGGACCTAACTGCATTTGCACTTGCACTATTAAGACTAATATTAAAGTAACTTGCTAGTGTTTATTTTATATAAAATATAAAGTCTAAATTGTATTTCAGCACATAACTGTCTGTCTGTCCTAATCTGTCGTCCCTCAGTTCCTCTCTGGCTGTGTTTACATTACATTACAGCCAGACACTAGCGAGCTAAAAGGATTACATATCTGTTTGTCTGAACTGCCCTGTACATCATTGTTTTACATTGTGTATGTTAGAAATGCTGCATTATGTTGTAATGTTATTTACAATTGCCTATAATACTGATCAAATATAATGTATAATTTCATAATGTTCAAATCTGGATAACAACACAATTGGAAAGAAATCAGGAGGATCAGTCTGCAGTCTGGAAATGTTTACCTTTTTTTTCTTTTTCTTTAAGAAAAAAAAAAAAAAAAATTGGTATGCATGTTTTAACACATTGTGTAGAACAACAACACATTGTTCTGGGATCATGATCTACACTCCAGTTTTCCAGGCCAGTGTTATCAACAGCAGATAAAGAGTAACTGAAAACATAAATAAAAAAAAAAGATTTGGGATCCGAGATGTGTTAACCTTGTTATGTAATTTGTGTGAGATGACAAGAACTTTGACGATGAATTCAAACAAACCATCAATGCTCAGTGTTAATCATTTTATAGTCTTAAAGTAGCTCAAATTTCATCTGCAGTTTCACCTTTAAAACTGGACTCAGTAAGAAGACTAACAGCCTGAAAGAAGTGCTGCCAGTCACTGCTGAGTTGTTAGCACGTGGTTTGTGTGGATAACTTGCCAGTGTGAGTGTCACATAGGTGTGTGTATGTGTGTGTGTTTCCCCAACACTTTCATTTCACTAACCTTCCCGTTCAGACAGTCTCCTCTCTGAGACGCCGTCTGTCGTCATTGTGATTTATGAGTTTAATAAAAACCTGTGTGTGTGTGTGTGTGTAGCTCAGGGCCATACTGTCCCTTACAATCACTCTACAAGCTCTCTTTTCACAACCTCTCCCTCTCTCCATGGCTGACAATAGCTGTGAATGTGGCTGTGAATGTTTTAGAAGTGCCCTTGTCAGACTGGTGTCCTTGAGCGAGGGCAAGGTTGTTACTGCCAGTTTGTTAATTTCAAACTTGCCTTGATGTCCCCTTAAGGGACACAGGAGCAAAACTAAATTACAGCTGTATAGTTTTGACAGAGATACTGGGCCCTCTGTGTGTTTGTGCTGGTGTGGTGGAGTGTGGAAACTAAGTCTTTACACAGCTGATGGCACATCTGTGTTTTACAGCTCAACTCATGACCAGTCTGAGTCTCTGTAAGATACAAATTTAGGTAGCGCAGTTTCATTTAAAATGTAACATGTAGTGGCATTCAGCTACGTATTAATGCTGCAAGAATGTGTTACAGTACAGGACCCACTATTTACAGTGCTTATGTAAATGAGGAAGGTTATAACAACAACAATAGACTGTTAAGCTAAATATCCCAGTCATGTCTACAATTAAAATGAATATTTAAACCATGGCACAATATTAGTCTCATAATGAAACAAATCTCCATGTGTCACTACTGGAGTTTTGGTCCTTCATCATTTTAATGCATTTTTGTCCTCATGCATCATGGCTTGAACATGAATTTGGTATGTTTGTGTGTCTCCTCTGTTCATGATGGAGTAAAATAATATTACGTTTCTACAAGTTGTCTGTGGCTTTTTATTTTGCACAGGAACGCTGCTCATATTTTTGACCTGTATAAAAAGAAAAAGTGGAAAAAATATATGGTGCATAAATCTATAAACACTATGCTAGGATATATATACAAAGTATTACATAGATGTCTGAGGAGTGATTCTTGAATAACCCAATGAGCAACAGGACATGAACAACAATGTCTGCAGACGATAGAGAAATTTAAGAGGGGACACAGTTGTGCTGAAAACCGCTTGCTTTGAGGACCAGTGCAAACTGTACGTGAAGTGTTAATAATCAAAGTAAAGAAACTGTATAATTTACCAGAAAAACACAAACACTGATCAATGAAACATCTATAAATAAGACTTTTTATAGAACAACCATAAATAATACTGCCAGTTTTAAAAAAAGAAAAGGATATATAACAATACAGTAGGCTTCAATTTTGTACACAAAAACATGAGAACCCATCAATATGACACAGAAATTCAACATAGCCCTGATAAATACTGTATCCTTGATGTTTAGCTTGCTCTAAAAATTAAAGGCCCAACCTGTGGAATCAAAATATAAACACTAGCTGTGTCCTAATTCAGGGGTTGCACCCTTCGGACGACATGGTGTACAAAGGCGGGGCCTCTGAAGGCTGCATTGAACATGAAGGCTGAACTGAAATGAGACAGTCTCGTCTACGGAGGATTTCCTATTTATCCTCGGCCACTGATGTATTTGCAGACTGCACCTATTCTCTTCTTGAAAAGTGATTCATCACTGCACTGGCACACAATGAATCTTGGGATAGATTGGCCTGTGAAGAATCCAACAGGTGGATCCTTCGCAGCATTGTGCCGCTGTGACACAATCGGTCTTCAAATGCAGCATTCAATGATTGTGGCCCCTGAATTGAGAGACAACTACTGTTTCATTCCTGCTACAAAAACAAAACAGGACACAGCAGATATATTTTCACTCCTAAGATGATTGTGCTCATGATACAAGGATGAAAAATGTCTGTTTAACAACACTGACTCTGGATTCCACTGACTAAATGCAGACTTTCAACTTCACTAAAGTTGCACAAAGCTTAATTTCGTTATGTCTTCTTCCTTCTACATTTAAACGTAAACTGTGTGTGTCCACAACTGATATGTTCAATAAAATCTCAGATAGGGCTTTCAAGTTAGGTCACATAATCACAACAATAAAACGGCACATCTGTGATTCCCAGCCACATCTAAAACATTAAGAGGGAAAAAACAAACAAACCAAAAAAAAAACAACAGTAGTTGGCATTTTTTGTAATAAAACTAACACCAAGGCCATTTGTCTTGTTACAACTAAAGGACTATTGTTATTAATAATGTTTAAGCTTACTAGGCACAACAGCTTGTTGAAGCAGAGGACGTGACTGAAACCTTTGACATTAAATGTTTTCCAGACTAGCTTGATTCCTAATAGTGAGAAGTTAACCTGCTATAGCTGATCTTTCTGCATTTCTTTTTTAAATAACTAAACTACAAACACTTGGCAAGCAGAGACAGCAAATCCTAATAAACCCTGAACACTCTGGCAGTGTTTAAGTCGTTTGAAGAATGTTTTTGGTAATCTGAGCAGGATTTTAAGATATAACGAATTGTATAATGACAATCCAGATCTATGTACAGATATACAGTCAAACCAGATACTGTAGCTTTTTAACTCACAACCCACACAATCACAATTGACTGGCTCCATATCTGTGTGCACTGATTTTGGTACATTATTAAATTATTATTAACACTCTCCCACTGCATTTTGAACATAATTAAAATGAAAAGTAATTTGGTCATCAATGCTGAACAATTTTTCTATTCCAGTATTTTTCAAGACTTTCAAGACTGTAGCCAAATAGTCCTGTCTGTCCTCAGCCAACATTGAATAACATGAATGAACATTTTAGCGTCTGGGATTGAATCTAGTTCTGAATTGTGACTGTGATACCTGATTAGATGTCGGGATCTTGTCTTAAAGATGAGTGTCAGTGAACATGGTGTGTTCCCTTTTCACAGAACTTAAAGCCTTGATGGCGTCCACAAACTCATCTTCCTCCACATACTGAAAGAAAATAAAAGGAGTCACAACATTGGAGTCAATGAGAAGATCTGTAATATACAGCCTGTGAGCTCAGTGAGCAAAAGAGACTTTTTTTCACTACAGGCATTTTGATTTTGCATATTCTTTCAGTGCACAATGTAGTTCACTTCAAAGGCTTTCTCCTTCTGAGGTTATACTAAATCAACTTGTACAAAACATGGACAGACTGAAATACTACAGCTTGCTGTAGTTTGAATAGTTTGCATTGTATTTTGATCAGATACCTTTGTTACTTCTTATATGAGATTGATGGCAATTGTTTCTCACCTGTGCTGCTCTGCTGCTCTGTAGTTGTCTTGTCTTTGATACTTTTCTCAATTTGTTTTTTATTAAGTTAAAGGCTATAAGTCTGTGTTGAGTGTCAATCTGCAGAGATCAGGTAAAGACAGGTGAAATAAACAAGCCAGTTTTCCAGTGAACAATCCAAAGCAGGGTCTTTTATTTAATTCTGTGGTTCAGTGATACTGTGTCCCACAGATTATTTCTCAGATCCTTCTAAATAACCCCCAGAGTTAATAGTAAAAGTGCCAATTTGATGTGGTACTGGTGCTCCTAACAGGGCTGGTAATTAGAAAACAAAGTCTGCCTGTATTGTAGTCACTGCACTCTACTGTAATTGTAATGTAATTGTAATTTTAACATGTTTCTATCCTCACCAGCCCAGAATCATGTCCCACTGGGTTGTCCCAGCTTCCTTCCTCCATCATCAGTGACTTCCTGTCAATCAGTTGACTGACACTGCGGTGCAGGGAATGCTGGGAGTAGGCTTGACTGAGGTCTGTTTGGCTGGGGACCCGCACAACAGACATGGGGCTGAACCGTGAGCTGCTGCCGACTATCTTTGTGTCTGTCAGTCCCTAAGAAACAGATTACAAATCAAATACTTCGTAATACTGCTAACCATATTTCAGTGCATGTTGTAGTTTTAAATATACACTCCATTACCACAACAACCTGAATTTGATTAAGAAAAAAAAACAGGTATGATGTTCACTGTCTGAAAAATGGTGGGCAGTTGTGTAAGGTAAACATAATCTTATCTCTGGTTTATTGGATAAACATGCAAAATGCCTGCTATAATTTTTTAACTGCAATTCCACCCAAGATAAGTTTCTATTACTTAAAAACAATAAGACATAAAACAAGTTAAACATTATCATGAAAGCTCAAATACAACTCTGTATGTAACATATAGGGTCTTGATTCTGCTGCCTCTGCACAGGAAAATATCTACTTGAAATGACAATAGTATATAACAACATAATATTACATTTGAATTACTGTTTGAATTTAAATTCATATTAGCTGCCGTTGTCATTGTATCAATAATCAGCAGGGGGCACTAGTCTGCAAAGACTGGCCCTTTAGGTCAAACAGGAGAGGGGCAAAGTAAAATCTCTTTTTTTTTTATATTTGTTCATGAACAAAAACACAGCACAACACTTTGAGCCAATTAAGCTTGAACCATAAAAGAAAGAACAGGATTAAGATAAAGTTTACAGACAATGCACTTTTCAGTAAAAATTCTGGTTTTATGGTTCCTACTATAAAATTTGGATGTATCAGATGACTTTATTTGTTGCATATAGAAAGTCAACAGCTTATGTGAGAACAAACTTACAGACTCTACAAAATGTCTAACCTTTACAAACCGAGATGAACCAACCACTGTAATTTAATAATTAATTTTATAATATCTGAAGTCCAATTCACACAAATCTTCTTGTACTTATCGATGTGAACACAAAACACGCACCTTGCCTTTGTTCATTCTCACAGGCCTTTATCGGTGTGGGGTATGCACACACAAAAAAATATAGCATGCATCCACAAACAAAACAGACATGCATACAAAGGCACCCACACAAATTCACAATCCCGTACCTCATTGTACACAGTGTAGCTTTTAAGTATAACGTTGCTGATCTCAACACAGTCTGCTACAGTGTCAAACTGCAGGGGGACAATAAAATAAGCATTTAAGGTTTTGGCAATAAAATACTGGGAGACAATCTTACTGTGTGGCGATCGGGGAGGAGCACACAGCTGGAGTGATGTTTAGAGCACAGCTCAGGACAGGGCCTCTGAGAGAGAGAGAGAGAGAGAGAGAGAGAGAGAGAGAGAGAGAGAGAGAGAGAGGATGGAGAAAGTAGTATATTGAGGAAGGGACTCAGAGAAAACATATAAAAGAAAAAAAAAACAGAGAAGGAGAGACTGACACCAAATGAAAAAGAATGAATTCAGAAAATTATTATGTGGGAGAAAATCAAATAGAGGAGTAGTAATAACAATGGAAAGAATGAATAAACTGAATCAACCAATGGAAAAAGGTGGAAAGTTTAGTTTGAGTTTTGCTCTGGTAGCAGTTACTGTCAATTACTGGGAATAGTTAACTTGCGTGATAAAATGGGATGACGTCTCAACACTTGTGTTGTAATGTATCAGATGATGCTGCGCACATGTGCAAGTTAATTTCTATTCTTCAAACAGCGTTGCAGTGACAGTAGTTGTTTCATCCCCCTCTGGCAGAAATAAGATTAAGTCACAGCTGCATTTGGAAAGAGGATTTTTTTTTAAAAATATGTACAATATGCAGAAAATGGAGTTTTGATTCAGTCACCAAGTGATTTCAAGGAATCAAACAAAATACAGTCTCTTTTAGTACCAAACTTTTCTTCATCCTCTTTGTAACCCCGACTACCTCTCTCTGTCTTCTCCCCTTTCAGCCATCTTGTCACTCTCTCTTTCTCTGAGCGCCTTGTTTCTCTGCCCCTCTCACCATGTATGTCTCTCCCCCAGCCTTCCTGGTCTTCTGAAGCATGACCAGTGGAGGGCGCTCTCTGGCTGATGGATTCTTCCTCAGGGCTCTGGAGGGGAGGAAAAAAATCATTAACACTGTTTTCTTCTCAACTTCACTGGCTCCCAGTTTCTCTTAGATTCCATTTTAAAGTGCTTTAATCATATACGAGGCTCTGAATGGTCTGATGCTGGAGTACATAACCGAACTCCTTACACCCAACTTTCCGAACAGGCTCCTCAGGTCTATTAATCTGGGTCTCATAACTATTCCAGAGTCCAGGTTAAAAGCAAAGGGTGATCGAGCCTTTGCAGTACTGACTCCTCAGCTCTGAAACAGCCTTCCACTGAGCATCAGGTCAGCTAACTCTGTTGCTGCCTTTAAATCTCTTCTTAAAACTTATTTTAATAGAATGGCTTTTCCCATCAGCTGATAGACTAGACTTCTGGGGCCATGAGCTATTTTTATCATTCAGAGTTTTTATCTCTTATCTTCTTTCATTGAGAGTTTTTGTTTGCGTGTGTACGTGTGTATATGGATAAGCATATTTGTATGTATACACATATATATATATATATATATATATCCACATGCTTTTCATTATTTATCTCTTGAACTTGTCCCTAATTGTTGATGTTTTTCTCATCTGTGGAAAGCACTTTGTGCTTGTTGCTTGAAAAGCGCTCTATAAATAAAATTATTGTATTCTTGTTCAGATCAAATTGTCTGTGTTTTTACATAGAGTGTGCTGTGTTTTATAAAGACATGTATGTATTAGTGCAGTTTTATAATATATTAACAAATGCAGAGTACTTGAAGTACCTGATGAAATTCTATTCTTTTTGTGTCTTAAATCTTTTGCATGCTACACATTACTTTAGAATACCTTTGTAGCACTAGGCCCAGCAGTATTGCTAGCATAAAGAGACCCAGCAACGCTAACAGCAGGATGAACCACAGCTCAGAGTAAACTGGGGTTGCTGAGATGCTGACACCCTGTGTACCACTGTCTTCAGGCTCAGGAGGATCTGCAGAAAGACAGAACACAACATTTTGTGTCAAAACATCATGCCCATAAAGTTTCACTGAATTGCAGAAGAGGACATAAGAGACAGATTCCTGAATTGCTGTCTAATATTCAGCTTCAAGTTTGACTGTCTCTGGTAGTGTGTGTGTTTGTGTGTCTGTGTGTGTGTTACCGAGGCCTGTGGCAGGGCTGTATCTGATGGTGGGAGTACTGGCACTGCCACTGTTTGTGGTACAAGTCACCTGAAATAAAAGAGCTGAGAAGAACAGAGAGAGATATGGAGCAGAAGAACATATTAAGTTGAAATGGAGGTAAAAGATTACATATGTAGAGTTGACGCTGTGAGGTTGCTTATATATCCAAAATTAATACGTGAAATGAAAAACATTTACTCTAGTGGTTCTAATCAGAAGCAAAACTACTACTCTTTACAGTCACTTCTACTGTCAACACTCCAACTCTCTCAACTCATAGCCACAGCTCATTCTGTGATGGCAACTTTCTATTCTCTGAGCTAATTAATTACACAATATTTTATCCTTTAATGGTGATTACACTAATGCCTAAGGACTGGAATGAGTCAAAGTAATCATATTAAACTGCTGTATGTACATGTATATATTTGTGAGTGGATCTGTATGTGTGTGTTTGGTATATGCGTGCTCTCACTTTTCTGTGAGATGCGTGGAATATGGAGATAGCTGTAGAAGCCAGTATAGACCCTCAGCTGGCTCTCAGTGACACTATACTCCTTCAGGTATCCGTTGAGGGAGAAGGACGCGGCCCAGTCCAGCCAAATGACTGTCAGATTACTGCCCACTGAGAAAGGAGACACATACTCTGGAGCTGGAGGGAAGGAGGGAGGGAGGGAGGGAGAGAGAGGATAAGAGAAACAGTGGATGGGTTTTTTATGTTTCTTATGACTGGTTATTGGTGAGGGTTGAGGGCTCTGCTGTTTGTTACCTTCACTGAGTGTAGTAACAGTTGTCCAGTTGGAGGCAGTGCTGCCCATGTTGTTGAAGCAGGCAGCTCTCAGCTCATAGGTGGAGTATGGTTGGAGACCTGCACAGTTTACATTTACATTTACTCATTTGGCAGATACTTTTATCAAAAGCGATATTTTTATTGTAAAGTATGTCAGGACATCTTTGTGTCATCACAAATTTTAAAAATATCTGGACGGCACTATAACTCACCTGTTACATTGTAGCTTCGCCTTTTTCCAAAGAAACAGATTTCAACTGTTCCTTCAACGCAAGGCAGAGGTACAGGCTGGGGGGGCTGTGGGCAAGATGATCGGAGATGTAGCTCACAGCTGGAAACAGAGAAAAAGAGAGTGAGTGAGAATGAAATGATGGTACATGTATCTGTTCAAGCAGTCCGTCTCACTCATTAATGAACTCTGAGTGCAAATAGTTTTTCCTAATGTTAACTTTTTATGGTGTCTACTCACCTCTCAATGACTCCATTAGGTGCCAGAGGCTCGTCCCAGTCCAGCTGAATAGAGCGGGAGGTCAGGGTAACAGGACGAGGAGGGGGCTGGTGGGCTGGAGGTGCAGTCAGGGTGTGAAGCTCACCTAGTGGACCCTGGCTACAGCACTGAAAAATGTTCAAAACAGAGACTTCAAAGATTTATCATTTTCATAAGTGTACGAGTACAGTATCCAGACAGAATTTAAAAAAGAAAAAGTATACACACAACATGTACCCTCAGGTATTTTCCAGTAAAAATGTTGCTATTAAGGCAAGCACATCACATCACATAAATATCACTCAAGTGGAGGTACATTTTCTTCTGTCAAAAAATACTTTGGTAAAAGTACTAAATAGCTATTTGAAGACCGCTCTGAGTAACAGTTACGTGTGATAACTGTAAAAGAGCTGATGGGGCAGTCTGACTGTAACAATTTAATGTACATTTACTCTGTCAAGTAATTCCTTTGCAAATCAGTGAAGCTATTTAAAGTGGTGACCATTCTTTCTTTACAAGAAAGGTGTGAATACAAACTTAAACTGACTATCCTCCTGTCAGTCTAACTACCATCATATCTCTTTTTTATTGTACTGGCTCACTGTACTAGTTTGGAAACACTGGTGTGACACCAGTGCTAGTATCCTGCTAGTAATGCTGCTAGTAATTACCTGATAACAAGTGCAGGCCTCTACTACTACCCAGTACTGGGTGTAAGGACGCAAACCATGGAGTGTCTGCTGATGGGATGTACCCTCTGAGAGCTACAAGAAGGGGATAATGAGGTAAGTTTACATTTTAGGTCACTGTAGTATCATGAGAGAATTAGTGGGTGGGTTAAAGGGGAAGGAGTAACAGTATGTGAGGGTGAGGAAGAGGCAGTGTAGTTGTAAAAAAAAAATTGAAGAAGAGCATCAAGTAAATTATTAACTGCAGTATTATGTGCTTTACCAGAGTGAGGTTGTTGTGGTTCACTGAGAACACTCTGTAAAGGCTAACAATCCCATTGGGTCGAACTGGAGGGGCGATGTCCACCACTGCTGAAGTGGCTGAAACACGCAGGAAAATAGGTGGGCCTACACCCTTGGGTGGGGCAGATCCTGTCCTCCCATTGGCCCATGGGCTGCCAGTATGACCAGCTGAATTCACTGCCCACACCTGTTGATCAAAACTTCACATTAGTCAATAATATCATGACTGAACTAGACTGAACTAGTGGGAAATAATGGCGAGGGAACACATGACAAAGTGAGTCAGACAAACTTTTTTCTTCCATCACAGGATTTTAGATGCATTTTATTAACTCTTCATGATGAAGGCTTCTCTTAATTACCAGTTTCCACCAGATCAACAAAATGATATAAGGCAATTCATTGGACCATCCATCAAAACCACCATCAGCAGTGAGAGCAAAACCTTTTCACCATGCAACCCAACACCAACATATCTGCATGACAATTACTTTTCACCTTCATCAAGGAGTTATTCTCACTCTCACACACACACACACACACACACACACACACACACACACACACACACACACACACACACACACACACACACACACACACACACACACACACACGTAAACAGTAATCTTATTTGTGTGCTTGTGTTGGGTATAATTAGACGGTGTACACAGCACAGGGTCAGGCAGGGTTGAGATTTGCATGTGTAAGTCATCTGTAGCCTGTCAGAAGTAGTGCAGAAGGCAGATGGATGGGTCTGAGCTTTTGTCTTGAAAAGTGTGTGCGTGTGTATGTGTATATATATGTGTGTGATTATTGTTTGCGTCTGTGATCGTGAGCTTTGTTTGCATGCGTGTGCATGCAAGTGTGTTAGGAGTTGAATTAACCTCAATAATAGTCAATTAGGCTGTGATCAATCAGACTGATTGATCTAAGTGACAGCACAGATGGACTGAGATGGGAGAGGGGAAAGAAGAATGGAAGATGGAGAGACTGGGGACAGGGAGGAGGAGGACTGGAGGAAGGGTGAACATGACACAAGGAGAGGAACCAGGAGAAATTCTGAGCTTGGTGCTGGTTTGTAATTTCGTGACTCCTGATGAAGCTGCTTGCACTGAGATAGGTTTAGTTCTGCAGATAAGATTACATTGACACAGACAAAGTCTTAGTGCTACCCTCTTGGCTTTAGTTGATGGTGGTACACAAAGACATCTCCAACATTAAAAAATATATATTCATATATGCCAAACTTTGCCTCAACAGCATACCCACTGAATAGATTACTGTATTGTCCATAATAGTTTTACACAAAAAGTTGATTCTTGCCAATGACAACAACTAAAACGACTTGTAAAATCTAAGGTCGTACTCTTTAAGTTGGATGTAAGTATACACCAGTCAAACAGCCTGAACAGTTGCAGCACGGAGCCAGAATCCAATCAAATGGGTATACAACCTAATGTGCATTAGTATAGGCTACACAAGTCTGGTGCACCACATAGAGTCAAAGTCTACACAGTAGAATAATCTGCGTATAGTCAGGTAAATATTTTTATTACACAGTGATTTACTGCTTTTATATGCAATCTTGTAAGCAGCCAGAATATAAATACAAACACTTCAACTTTGTCTCATCAAAAGAGTGTAATCATGCAAATATATGTAAAAATCAAGATTAAGTTCAAGTTTAGTGACCACACAGTCGTACAGTCAGTCCTATAATCTTTCCTGTGTTCATGTATTACAATATCTTCCTTTTGGGGCATTGTGTATAATGTTGTGTGGTGGATGAAGAGAGGGGGACAGTGGGAGGGATGGCAGGAAGAAGAATGAAGGAAAGAACAGGCGCCTGTGTGAGGAAGTGAGAAGGAGGGATGGAGGGAAGAGGGTACGTTAGGTAAAGGGCATGCTGTCACTCTGATAAAGAAAGGTCAAAGAGAAGTGTGTGGCTAACGGCAGTGAGAAATGAGCCCATTGTGTTTGTGTGAGTGTGTGTGTGTGTGTGTGTGTGTGTGTGTGTGTGTGTGTGTGTGTGTGTGTGTCCAATGGGTGTGAGACAACTGACAATTACATAAATGGTTAAAAATGAAACATATATTTGTTTGACATTAAAACTATGCTCATAATATTGTTGATTTTAAGTATCTATCAAAATGATGGCTGTACAGTCCTGCAATATAGAGATTAGGTGATTCTGGATCACAAATAACTGAGTGAACTGAGTTCTCATTTCTTCTGTATATAACCAATTAGATCTACAGTAATTATGCTAACAATGTCTTGTTTGTACCTTTTATTGTAACTTTGTTAACCTGTGATAAACAAACTATTGCTGTTATTGTAATCACATTTGCAGCAGCATATTAATGGAACTGAGCCCTTAGGAAGGATACGAAATCTCTGGTTAAAAACCTGGAATAAAAAGTGCATTAGCATTAGGTTTTCTATTACAAAAGGTTTTCTAAGGCATACATCATGTAGTTTCTACACAGTAACTGTGACTTGACTTGTTGCTGAAAATAGTTTCAATTCAATTTGCTTCTGCCATCATAAGAATTATAACTTGCAGCAATAAAATATTCCTACCCAGCAACAACCATGTTCTTCCCCAAGTAGCAACACATGACGCAAGGGTTTGGACTTGATTAAGAAGTTTGTGCCACATCAACAGAAGAGAGAGAAAAAGTTCAAAACTAAAGTCAGCCCAGATCACCTTGCCCTTGATCCAGTGCTCATCTCTTCGTCCTTATATCATCTACAGACTTTTTACTGCTTTCTCTCCCCTCCTCTCCTATTGGGCCATGATTTGGCTTAACGGACACAAAATAAAAATATACCCTGTTAGCTGCCATGGCAGCAAATGAGCCGCCATGGCAACAAACGACTTCAGGGAACTTCCAGACAGTATTCAAGCTCTTTTATTGGACGCTTGTACTGCGGAATTGATTTGAGCACTCTGATAGGCCAACAGGGCTACTTGGCGGGTGCATCTACTTGGGGTGAAGGGGCTAAGTTGTGTGAAAGTGGGCAGTAATTAAAACCAAGCATAAAGCTGTCAATAGGAGCTTATGACCCAGTGTAATTAGCCTAATATGATTTCTCTCTCTGCACTGTGGTGTGCTAAACTGAACTGACTTATCGTCCTTGTGTACGCCTGAAACACAGGCAGAGAAAGGATGTGAGTCAGATAGGAACAAAGACAGATTAACAGCTAAATAAAAATAAAGCCAGGCAGACAGATAGTTCTGTAGATGGACAGACAACTTAGTGCATGGCATGGAAAATAACTTAAAATCATATGTCCAAAAATGCTTCTTTGCATCTGACACAAACACACACAAACACAAACACAAACACAAACACAAACACACACACACACACACACACACACACACACACACACACACACACACACACACAAACAAGAGCACTACTGTGTACATGTGCTCATGTACAACAGACACATACCACCACCTTGTCCACGTACCCCAATCCCCCACTGGCACATCCTCAGGGGACGTGTAGCGGTCACCATTAAAAGGTCTTTCCAATACAAGCTCTGTTACCAAGGGGGCTAACAGTTAATTCGATTGGCTGGCTGGTAATCAGGAAGTGGGTGCTCTGAGGGCCCAGTGATTAATGGCTCTGTTGCCCGCCCGTCATCTCCCAAAGCTCCTCCCTCCCTCCCTCCTCCTGTCATAAATTAGGACCCTCGTAAATAAAGACGGCACCACAATCAGGCAAACTCAATCAATTACTCAGGTTCTCTGGTCTCGGCTCGCATGTCTGACAGGCAGAAATGCTAATGTTATTGTTGCTTCCAAAGGGCTAGCCTGTCAATTAGCGTACCAATGCACAGCACAACAGCATGAATATGGACCCCTCCATTTAACACCTGCCTGATTACTTGGCTTATGTGTTTGTGTGTGTATGTCTGTGTACATTGGCATGTATGGATGACTATATCAGCTGAGATGTATGCATTTGTGTGTGTGAATGGACTTTTGGAAAATATTTCTTTCAATCTGAAAACAGGCTATATCTTCTGATGTGTCAGTCACATCAGATCTCATCTCCAAATGAGGTTCAGGGATCACAATAAAACATTTTAATTTGTTCCCATGTCCACTGCAGAGGACAAAAATGAATAAACATTTCCGTAGGTGTGAGTGTGAATACATATGTATATGAGAATATATATTACGAAGAACCCACTATTTCTGTTATCCTAGTTCTTAAAGGATTTTTGTAGATCTTACTTTCTCCAAAAAAAGAAAATCTTGCTATTACATTTGATATTAAAAATAAACAATATCCATGAAATTTGAAAACAAGTCAACTAGCGCTCTCTCTCTCTCTCTCTCTCTCTCTCTCTCTCTATCCTTTCTACTGCTGAAAACCTCAAGGATGCATCATAAAATTTGGATCAAAATCCAATAGTATTCTGCTTTAATGACTACCCAAGGATTGGTTTCCATTTCCTCTCAGATCTGGATAAATATTATATCTGTTCGATTTTAATAGTAAAACCTAGATACTACGTGTTTGCTGTATTTTACTTCTCTAAACACAAACACACACAGCATTATACCTGATACTGGTATAGAGTGTACGGCTTGAGTCCTTCGTCTTTGTATACAGTGGAGACATTCCTGTAGACAAGTGCTGCATCGCCTCTGTGGGTATCAGTGGTATGGTCCAGTCTGCGGTACACCTCATAATGCAGGACTCTACCATTTGGTTGAACTGGAGGGGACCAGGTGAGTAGGAAGGTGGTCTGTAGGCCGGTGTGTTCGTCAGGCTGCAGGTCTAACAGTGGTGCTGTCTGTCCAGCAGGGGGAGCCTCCAGAGTAAGTACAGATGACCAGTCACTGGAGGAACAGCCCAGCGCTGTGCAAGCCTCCACCCGCATCTCATACCTATACACACACACACACACACACACACACACACACAACACACACACACACACACACAACCATGATACCAGTGTACTGTGATTAAAGCTTGCACATGAGTTTAATTAAAAAAATATATATAAATAAATATGCCAACAATTAACCAGATATTGTATAAATCAGCAAACTATATTGAGTTCATAAATGATGATCTGACTTGCTTTCTCTTGAAACTCCCAAACTTCACTCTGCAATTACCCTAACCCTATTTAAAGGAGGTGCTAGTGTATATGTACAAAAACAGTGCCACAAGTCTTATTTCTTGTGCCAGATTTATTTAGAAACGGATTTTGGTGGACAGTAAAGGAGTTTTTGACATCACCTTCAGAACCATGTCAACCACATTTTCCAAGTTTCGAAGGCTGAATTACAGCTCAAATTATGTATTTAACAGAAGCCATAAGAAGCCATTAAGTTTAATTCAACCACATGTCCATTGAGCCTTGTCAGACTACAATACAAGAACTGACTTTATGTGGTAACTAATTTAAAGACATTGTTGTGTTTTTAGAGAAAGAGTGAAATAAAGGAGATGACAGAGGGGAAAGAGGGGGAGGAATAGAGAGAGAGGGGAATGAAGATGAGTTGAAAGGATAGAAGGTCATCAGAGAGAGGGGGAGCGATCTTTAGATGATAAGGCTGATGAGCTTTTATTATCTGAATCTTATTACCACATACACACATACACAGCAACATATTCATGCACACTGATATGTACACACAGGAACAGGCACACACATCTGCTACACTGTTGTCTTTGTCTCATAGACAGTGATAGATACATTGTCACTGACTCAAGGTCGATGCTCTTTCTCTCTCCTTTTCTATTTCCCACTTTCTTAAACCGCGACAGTCTTGATGCTGTCCTTTTGACAGCATGTTTGACGGGTTGTTTTCACAAAATCAAGTTATCTGCAATTTGTTAAATGCTTTCGTATCTAATATATCAAACAGGCCTTTGATTTATTAAGTGCTTAGATGTCTCCAGATGTAGAGTTTGTGCGGGACAAAACAGCACAAACTGCACCATGATGATGTGCATGTTTATTTATGATTATCTTTCATGTGGAAGAAAATGCTTTGTTAAAATCATTGTGCTCATTGTATAAAACCACACTTGGCTGTTTTTTGATCCCTATTTTTCCGTCCTTTTACACCATTTTATATGGGCTCACTTTCAGTGTAATTATTTCAAAATATATGTCAAATATCACCATCTATTGACTGCAATGAAAGTGAAGTGATCTCAGCTCTGATAGCTGACCTGTGCTACAACAGTCCCTGGATTGTGGAGATATTTAAAGAGTTAACCAGTGTTTTTTGTTACCAAGAGATGGCACTCTGTTCCCCACATTTCCCTCCATTACAGTACTTACTACACAGGGAAATGTGGAACTGTAACTGTGTTGTTAAACTTTTCTCTCAACCATTTTAAGTAATAAAAATTAAATTATAAACAAGATATATTTACTTTAGATATATTTACACAAGCCTCTTGTAAAAAAGACTACATATATACTGTATCTACCTTATAAATAATACATAAAACATACTGTTAATCCATAAACAGAAATACTTTGCTGCATGATAGCCCAAAAGTTAACTGTGGTGAATTGTTCTTTAGCTGACCTGTGGTAAGGAGCCAGCCCAAGCAGAGTGGTGTGTCGGTCAGAAAAGGCACTATCCATTGGAGTGAAGACAGTGCTGGTGATGTTGAGCTGGACTGGATCTCTTTGATACACGGTGTAACTCACAATGTCTCCATTGGGACGGACTGGAGAACTCCACTCCACTCTCACCTGGAAAGACAAACAACATACAGCATAAAACTTTTCAAGACAGTACAAAGGTAAACCTCAGCTTTAGTTATATCACGATTTAGCTGTTACTCATACAGTATAGACCAAAGAGATGAATGACCCACCTGGCTTGGTCCCAGAGGCGTCAATGTAGGGAGACCAACACCAGAAGGAGCTGACGGGTGAGTCTTTGCTGAGGCTGCAGCACTGCTCACTGCACCTTTGCTGTTGTTGGACCTGACAACATAGCTATATTCCACACTTGGCAAAAGCGTGAAGTCGTGGTAATGTGTCTCTGTGCCAACATAGATGACCTCACCATCTCTATAGAGTTCGTACCCTGTGATGTTGCCATTAGGATGCTCTGGTGGTCTCCAGGTAATCTCGACTGACTCTGGGCCAGTGACCTTCAAAGGAAAAGTCAATGGTCACATCAAACAGATCTCTGAACAGCATTCAATATTCAAAGTTATGCAGTAATAATGATAACAACAAATCTATGACAAGAGACCAGCTTCTGATAGGATCACATGATGCCCATCTGTACTGTATGGTGTAATGCTGACAGGTGTTTCTATTATTTTGCCCGCCCCATTTATATCAATGATAGTAGGCTAAATAACAGAAACACATCTCTGTATAATGCCATGCAGTTCAACACAAATCACACCTCTGTGACAAGTCCTGCCTTCATGAAGGCTGCTGTTTTAGACTGCATTAGTTCTAGTTTGGTGTATCTAACAAAGTGGCAACTGAGTGCATATGTTTTGTGTCAGATGTAAAATTCTTAAAACGTTTAATTATTCTACTGAATGAGTGTTTCACTGAACTGAAATTATCTTGGATGAGTGGGAATATGTCTTCAGTAGTGCAAAGCAAGTCCAGTTGCTTTTGATTCATTCTGGACTGAAATCCACAGATTTAAGTATTGCACATCTAAGAGCAGAGGTTTTAATTAGAAGTCAAAAATAAACAAAGACACCTTAAGAGTCGGGGCACGCAGGCCAGTGGGAGGAGCCTCCTCAGTTACAGCAGACGTTGTGGCACTGGTGGTGCACCCACCACTGGTACAGGCCAACAGAACAAGCTGATATGATGTGTGAGGCTGCAGATCTGACACCACTGCATTAAGGTCTCTCCCACGATAAACCTCTTCATTGTTCAGTCTCAGCACATATTCTGTAACCTCTCCATTCTGCGTCAGGGGTTTATTCCAGGAAATGTTTATACTCTTAGCTGTGGCAGTGTCCACTCTGGGAGCTTCCACTGTGGCAGGTGGAGCCTCTAAGGTTGTGATGTTTGTATGAGGGCTGGTGATGCATCCCTCCGATGTACAGGCTATGACTGAGTAGCTGTAGAAAAGAAGAGAATACAACAAAGTTTTAAAAATATTATCATATTTGTTTGTGGTGGTTATTTGGAGTCCTCACAAAGAAATATTTAGGATAGTTCATTTGTAAGAAAGCAATACCTGTATGTAGAAAATGGCAGGAGGTCTTCATCAATGTAGCTGAGGACGGTAGGGTCAAAACTAAATGAGAAACTGACACCGTTTCTCTGAATCCTGTAAGACTGAAGTACCCCATTGGGCTCCAAAGGAGGTGTCCAAGAGACCAACACCTCACTGGGCCGGCCATGGAGGTGACTCACTGTGGGAGGAGCTAGGCCACGAGGGGGAGCCTGTCTTGTTGTGACAGTTACCCAGGGGCTGCTTGTGTGCCCAGCAGGGTTGTGAGTACGGACACTGAACTCATACTGAGTCCAGGGACGCAAACCACGCACTGTATACGAGAAGGTGTCAGTTTGTTGTGGGGATGATTCTCTGAAGAGCACCTGTTGGAGACGAGGGTGGATGATTTAAGTTGATGATTTAGGTTGGACAGTGGCAACACAATTTTCTTTTGATAACTGCCATTTAAGGTGAAAACCAAGAGATGCTGATTGGTTTGAAATTTGCTGTATTTTTACATGATGATGTCTTTCTTGGGTATAAAAACAGAACCAGGGTTCAGGAACCAGAGACTCAACTGTTTAAAGATATTGGGGGCACCTGTGTATTCTATCAGCTATTGTCCTGTGAACTTAGATATCGCTGCCTATATCTTCAGAGATGTGTCTTTATTTTCACCCACCTTTCCTCTTTCAATATCCTCTTCATTACTACTTCCCATCCCCACTTCTTCCAGACTTCTCCCAAGTAAGATATACTCTCCAATTGGCCCATTGGGCTGGGCAGGAGGTCCCCAGCTAAGTGACACATTGTCTGGGCCAATGAAGAGAGGCCTGGGGGGAGGCTGGGAAGCAGGTGGAGCTGCTGCTGTGGTGATGTGCTGAGGAGGGGTGTGTGTGCAGCCTGCTGAGGTACAAGCTTCAAGAGTCAAAGTATAACTAGTCCACGGTTCCAAGCGACGAAACAGGAAGCTGCGGGATAGACCGCTGAACTCCAGGTTCCCTTCACTGTACAAGTTATACATCTGGAAAGGAGGAGAGGGAAAGCAGCGAAGAGGAAAGAAAAGTATTAAGAGCGGTTGGAGAAGAGGAGAAGAGGTAATGTAGGTGAGTTAAAGTAGGACATAGTGTAACAGAGAACAGTGGAGGGATAAAGACGTGAAGCAGGTGAGAAGCCAGAATACAACAAAGCTGGACAGAAAAAAATGATTAAGTATTTGGTAATGTGCGTATGCTTGACTGTTCTGACTTCAGGAGCAGGCCTATTGCCGTGCACGAAGTGTGTATCAGCATGTATGTGAAGTACGTCCATGTGTATGCAAATGAGCTTTTGAATTGTGTAAGTTGATACCTCATGTTGTGTGTACTTGTGCGCTTTAGTATATGTGTCTGTGTGTATCACTGATATCTATCTGGTGCTACTACTGTATCTTCTAGTATGCGAGGCTCATTTTTATTAGAGGAGCACCATGCCCCAGTTCACCTGCTCAATGCTTTGCATTCACTTTGGTATATTTTCACTGTTGTTGTTGTGTGTACTGCAAGTACCGTGATGACTCCATTTGGAGCATGTGGCTGATCCCAGCTAAGCAGTAACGCCCTGCCCTGCTCTCTCTGCTCCACTGTGAAGTTAGCCAGGCCAGCCGGAGAAGCCTCCAGGGTCCTAATGCCTACCCATGGACTGGACACACTGCCTGAAGGGTTACAAAACATCTAGACTCAATGGAGGGGTTCAGTGGCAGGTGCTGATATTATTTATCCCTGATGGGTTAAATGAGATATTATTCATATTCAACATACCTGCCCTGTTCACAGCTTCCACTTGAAGACTATACTGACCATATGGTTCAAGGCCAAAGACTGTTGCTTCAAGGACTGAACCCTATGAGAGAAAGAGAAACTGAAGTATGATATACAAAGAGATGGAAAGAGTACAAGGTCAGAGAAGTACGAAAAGGAAAAAGGGAAAAAGTAGGAGAAAGTGGGAAAGAGGGATGAGAGGGAAACAGTCGTGAGGAGGGAGAGATATTGGAGAGAAAAGAGGGAAGACAATGGAATGATTGCTCAAGAGTTAAAAATGGAAAGAAAAAAGAGTGGAGACAGAAAGGGAAACAGGGAAGCACACTGTAGCAAGAAGAGAGTGTCAGGAAATTAGTTACACAAACAAACCCTGCATGAATAAAACCATCACATTACTCATTAAAATGGGGAATGAAAAGGAACACTGAAACAATGGCGAGCTAAGATGACATGACATGGGATTTGTGATATCAACATTTCAACATTCAGGCTCTGCCATGGTAAAGTAAGTAGACACCAGAGAAGTGGCAGAGACAGAGAGAGACTGGCAGACAGACCGCCGTCCCTTATGGGTGAATTCAAAGCTTCCAGATTGAGTGTTTATGTCACACATGCACCCTTTCATATCAGACACACACAAACATACACAAACACAGTGTGTCTGCCAGTAGCTTTAGGCAGTGGGACCCAGCCCAACACCCTGGCAGACACGGGGTAGTGTGTATGTGTGTGTGTATGATACAGTGGGAACAACATTTACTAATTGATAAGAGACACACTGTTGTTTCAAAAGGCCCTGGCGTGCTATGACATGGTAGTCAGGGAGCACTGGGCTCCAGGATGTGGCATTGCCTGTTTGTTTGTCTATGACTGTGAGCTTTGAATCAACTGTGAGATTGATGTTTCTCTGTGTATGTGTCAAAAAATTTGTGTGAATGGACAACATAGGAGGCTGTATTTTTTTATATGTTGACTCTGCAGTTTTTTTTTTTAAAGTGTCTGTTCAAGACTGTATGCTTTCACATAAGCAAGCATATGTAAAGAGATTAACTGGTAACTGACTTCAATGCAGCAGCAAGAGGATCAAAAAGACTCCAATTCAAACTGAATCAAATGAAAACCCTGACAAATCACCGTAGCGTGGCACCAAGGATGAACTGTCTGAACAACAACCAGAATGCATGTATTCACAGTTTTCATGTCTGGGAGCCAACATGTTTTTCATCCACAGTAAAATAGGATTAATAAGCCCCTAGACACTAGCTAAATCCTCCTGCAAATCACAGTTCTTCTCAGTAGAGAGAGGGAGGGAGGGACACAATGAGAGAGACACAGGGGTGGAGAAAGATGGAAAGAGAAAGGGTTGGAGGGGGTGAGAAATAAAGACTGAAAGAAAAAAGAGATCAGAATGAAATGAAGTATATGTAAGTAAGGCAATGTAGGTCAGAGAACTGTAGAGAACTACAAAAGTAAGAGAGTGAGTAAGTTAATAACTGACGAAGGAAATAAAAAAGGAGAGATCGAGGAAGGGGGAGTGAGAGAGAGCAAGACAGAGAGAGATTGAGTGAACGGTTAAAAAAAGAGGGGAGAAAGCTAAAGTGGGAGAGAAAAAAGATAGATGTGGCAAAAGGGAGAGACAGATTAAGTGAGCGAGAATGAGAGATCTCTCTACCTTAAAAGCCAGTGAAATATGTGAGGCATGTGGCCTATAAAGCGGTTAACATATGCACATTGTCAATAGCAGCATCTGGCGCTGGCAGCTTTTATAGGAGCATGGAGACTCTGCTACACGCCTCTAGATGGCAATACATTCAAACACTTTATCACTGAAACACACCACATTAACGGCCTCCATGCTACACCACACACACACACACACACACACACACACACACACACACACACACACACGCACCAGCACATAGACAGACAGTAATCAAATGGTGTAACACTGAAACACACTACTATTACATTACATTAACAGCTCCCTCAATAACTATTTCTCTCTCATACATACACATGTACACACACACACACGCATGCACACACACACACAAAACCACCAGAGAAATAATGAAATGAATAATGTTAAGGTAAATTAAATACCCACTAATCTCTGCTGTGAAGATAAACACATTGGAGTATAGAAAATACTAAATACCACACAGCACAGACTGTATTTCCCAACCTTATATTTGTAAAGTTTCTGTCACATATACCACATTTATACTTTATGTATAGTATATAGCATGTGACCTTGATGTATGTAAGATTAAACAGGTAGACCTATTAAGTGATTTCCTTCGATACTTATCAGTTCATGTCTCCCATTTTGGGGTTAGAGCTAGACTGCAATTCAGCAATGGGTACTTATGATTCTAGTGTAGGATTTTCACTTAATTCTGCACCATAGGCAAAATTATAGCTGTAGTCATTGTCAACAACTGGACTGTGGTAGTAATAGCTGTTTGATAAATGGTGGTTTTTCTGTTCTGCCTATTTTGAAAAAATGGCCAACCTATGAAGATCACATGAAAAGCAACAACGTAAGATATGAAAAGAAAATGTTCTCGTCAACCTAAATCCAGTGAGCATGAGCATGTGCATGTGTGTGGATGATCAAAGTCACTAGTTAATCATGCCAAATGCAAAAGAACAGAGGGGGAGCAAAAAGTCAAGAGAGAGATTGTGTAAAGTGTAAACAAGACAGAAGGAGAGAAAAGGAGACAGTGATAGGGAAAGAAGAGAAGAGACAGGAAGAGGTTGTGCTAATTTATACATTAAAGAGCCCTCAGATCTTACATGGTTCAACACAACTTAGCATTGAGGGCAAGGAAGCAATCTATTCAATCTTTTATTTCCTCGTTCTGTCTTCTCTTTGGTGTGTGAGCTGAGCTACAGCAGGGGTCCTCTGGACAGTGTGTGTGTTTCTGTGTGTAAGGTCAGTGTGCATCTGTGTTTCTTGAACCTTGCACACATATATCGATGCTGGTGTTTATGTGTGTCCATTTGTACGTATCTTAACAAGCCCACATCTGCTTGCATCTTGTTTTGTACCCATGTGTCCCTAGAAGAGTGTGTGTGCAACTGTACATCTGTGTGTGTGTGTGTGTGTCTGTGTGTGTGTGTGTGTGTGTGTGTGATATTCAGGTGGAGAGGCAGGGTGCGGCTGGGGGGACAGTGTGTGATACTAATTAAGAATAACCATGTGTATTTGTCAAAAGAATTATGCTGATTATCTCACAAAGGCCCCAGCACTGGGCCCCGCAGAGAGACAGAGACAGAGAGACGGACCAACATTAGCATATGGCTACACACTTGCATGCACGTACACACACACACACACACACACACACACACACACACACACACACACACACACATGCACTCTTCTCTCTCTTTGTCTCTCACTCACTCACTCATACCACACACACACACACACACACACACACACACACACACACACACACACACACACAAACACACACACACAGACACACACACACACACACACACACACACACACACAGACAAACACACACAGACACACACACACACACACACACACACACAGACACACACACACACACACACACACACACACACACACACACACACACACACACACACACACACACACACACACACACACACACACAGACATGCAAGGCAAGTAGAGGTAAAGTAAGTGCCTTAGAACATCCATGAAAGAAGCATTCCTATTGATAGGTGAATGGGGTCCAACTGGTCGGCCTTAGGGGTGTTTCTCTCCACAGCCTCTCTGCTCTGTCACATTAAGGCCTGGAGAGATTATAAAGCACCATACTGTTTCACCTTTTCTTATGTGTCTTAATTCTTTCAGTGTGTGGTAAAACATGCCATGGTAAGATATGATTCAATTCAATTCAATTCAATTCAATTCAATTCAGTTCAGTTCAGTTCAGTTCAGTTCAGTTCAATTCAATTCAATCCTTCAGTCCAGTCTATTAGTACAAGCTGTGCACTGACCAGCCCTGTGAGAGCAGTAATTGTTTTCAGAGTTTTCTGAGGTCAGCCAGTGCACCCCACGCTGCTCTCTTGCCCCCCCATGCCAAGCTCTCAAGCCAAGTTTGTGTGTGTATGCATACGTATTTATGTGTGCACACTTAATTCAATGCTGCTGGCACAATTGCCCTGTGTCTGTTTGCAAATGCCCTGCATGGGTGTCCCTGCTAGTCAGTGTGCGTTAGACAGACCCTGACACATACAGACGTTCGTGCAACACACACACACGCACACACGCACACACACACGCACACACACACACACCACAACACACACACACACACACACACACACACACACACACACACACACACACACACACACACACACACACACACACACACACACACACACACACACACACACACACAGAGTGCCATTAGGCATGTGTTTGTCTGTGGCCAACACAGACATAGAGAGGGACTGCAGGGGTCTGGAACAGGCATGCCCACTTCACACGGACAGCCATGATTGGCTTTGGCGGTTCTAGACCCCAGGAACAGCATATTTGATGTGTATATATGCGTGTGTGTGTGTGTGTGTTATGTGGCCAAATGGACAAATTCTGGCAAGTGCTTAAAATCCAGATATGTCCTGAAATTGAAATGAGCAAGCATGTGTTTGGTAAATAAATAAATAAATAAATAAATAAATAAACATAAACTGGAAAGAATACGAGTATTTGTTCAATCAATTTCCAATCAAGGGCTGTAAAAAAGCATAATGTGAACACAAAAGCCACTATGCTGCACTAATCTGGCCATTGTCATGTATTCAGGTGGGTAGACATGATGAACAAAACTGATATCAATGGAAACTGATATAGGTTTAATCTTAGGGAATTAATTTTTAGATTTTTTTTAAAGAACAGAAAAACAGAAATCATTAACAAAATAAACCAAACATAATGAGTATATTAGATGTGACTGGGAGCATCTTGAAATTCCATTTGATGGAGGGCTCATCCAAAATGCAGACACAGACCAGCATCTTACTAATACTAAAGCCTTTTTTTGGCATACTTGTCATCTTCAAACC